TTTCTTGGGCAATTCCTTTTGTTTTTTTCCTGGTAGCACCAGTGTCCCAGAGGCGTGTGCTGTAATTGCTTGGGTACACTCCGCAGTGGTTGGGTGCGACTATACCAACAGCCTGTCATGCAGCCATGTTACGCACCTTGTGGCAGGACTGACAGGGTTACTCTGTTCCAAAAAGCTGAGTTTGGTGTCTGGCTGGATGGTTTGCTGTCTTTTCTCAGATGTGCTCAGAAGTGGAAAAGAGAAGTTGTTAGACTTCTTTCACATTATTTGGCTCCCAGTTTTGTAGGGTCCAGCTGACAAGCTGAGAAATTTATAACTTTGGAATACAGAGCTGAGGTCAAATGAAGAATTCTTCTCAGCTTCTGCTTGTCTATGTTCAGGCTAATATTTCACTCCTACACAGCTCAATATGGTCTTAACGTCCCATATAGTCAGCACTTTTGTCCTGAATAAATCCAATGTCCATGCAGGTCCTCAATAGCTGGCAATACATGGTGATTTCTTTTTAGTGCCTTAGCGATTTTGAGTTTATCTGAAGGCTTTCATACCAAGCGTGTCACAAGTACTGGTGCCCGATTCCCCGCCTTTACAGTGGTATGATGAAGCCTGGTTGAAATATACAGTCAGTAATTTTGCCAAGTATATTAGTACTCAGTTTGTTGATTCACCTTGCTTTCTGGACATCCATTTTTTTTCCATGTGGGGAGAGGGATCATAAATGTGTGAGCACTCTTCCCACTCCAGGCTGAGGATACGGTGAGGTTGTACAGAAGTCAGGTCTAAGCTTGCTCCAAAGCAAATGGCATGTGCATGTGTCAAGGTTTCTTCTTGACAGCCCACATTTGCCTGCTGGCTTCTGAATAGCTTTATTGTGCATCACCAATGTGTGACCACTTTTCCAGTCTCATGTTGCTGCTTTCAGGGGGTTATGTAGCAGCTGGCTCCACAGTCCGGCTGGATCCAAATTGGTGGTTGATCTAATAACACATGTGCGAGCATGGCCCTTGAATTGCTGGCAGCCTTTGCCTGCAGCACGAGTGTACTGACATTCTCTGCTAAAGTCACTGCTTTGCACTGGAAATCTCCACGTCCTAAATCATTGCATAAAGGGAGGTGTTTCTTTCTATTTCCTACATAGTGTAAGTCTTCATTGGGGTGTAAAGTGATTTTATATCCTCAGGCCCCTATACGATGACATTTATTTTCCTCTGTCTTTCATACTGCTTTCCACACTATACACTTCCATATTGCCAGCAGATATCAGCTAGACTATCTCTAAAAAAAAAAGTTACAGCCTATCTTCGTAGGTACCCTTGGACAAAGGGGGAAATAAAGTATTTTATCTCCTAGGACAAAGAAAGAAAGAGTTTATTTGTGGTCTGTGGAATACAGAGGGGCGGGGGGAGGGGAAGACCATAATATGCCATAAAATTAATATTTCCACTAAGTCTATTTCATAGAGTCCAGTAGAATAATGAGTTTTACTATCCAGGTAAATATTGCTTACTATTGGAGATACTTGTTTCTTTCTCTCAACAATCCCTCCTGTAAACTGGAGTTGGGCATCCCGTGCACAATCCAGTCTTTCAGAGATCTCAACTTTGTAGTGTAATTATCACCCCGTCTGCTTCTTCATTTCAAATGAAGCATCTCTCATTTGGTCTCAGACCCAGCACCTGACAAACACCTTTATCAGTATTGTTTCAGTATTACTGGTATTATTCTGGACAACAATATCTCGCTCATCTTTGTCCCTTTTCCTCCAATAAGATAAAACAATGGTATTTTTTCTTTCTAACTCAGTTCTTATTTCTGTGGTTGGGCAAGGTTATTTGTCTTGAAAGGCATCAGTCTCTAGTTTTCTTCCCTGTGGCCTGTCATAAAAAAAAAAAAAGGTAGGAATTCGTGCTAATGCCTTCTTTTCAGGTTGCCAGGTCTTTCCTCCTGATACCACTTAAACTACACGTTCTAGGGGGTTTTGAGATTTAATCCTTTTATAGAATACGTAAATAGTTTTGTGAGTTTTATGGCCTTTTTATTTTTCACGTAAAGTAATGAAAATCAAGAATTATTTTTCAGTTCATAATTCATAACTTCATCAAAATTCTTCCACTAAAAAATTGCCAAGTTGAAAGAATTAAACAATAAAACTAGCAAGAGTAAAAAAATTAAAGCACTGTAAATATTAGTAAGTAATAGCAGAATGCTCAGATGTACTTTTTACATTTCTTGATGTTCAAACTCTTATGTATTCCATAGCTCCCAAAAGATGTAGCCGTTTATGGTACAGATTCGAGTGAGGTATTTTTATTTTGTATTTAATCGGTTGGATTTTCTTTCAATATTAAAGCATCCTTGCTTTAATCAGAAAGTATTTAATGTTGGATGTTTCTGTTTCTCCTAATATATATTTTTTTAAAAATCTTTTTTATAATTGTCTTCAACTTTGTTATGGCAAGCACTGCAAAATGCGTTTCAGAAAGGAGGGCCTGGTTAAGTCAGCAATGGATTCCATCTGTGTTGACGTTGGCTGCACAGCCCAGCCCACCCCAGCTGTATGAAGTAACCGGTGCTCCAGCAGGGTCGAATTCAGACAAGCACCATTTGTGTTTCATTTCCTTTTTTCTTTCTTTCTGAATAACATTTTGTCTAAAAACAAGGATTCCCCCCCTCCCCCCCGATCTTTATTGGAACCTCTTATTTGTTTCTGGATAAAAGATAGCTTTGAAACCTGTGCTGTGTCAAGTCAAAATTGAAATGACTCTCAGGATGGGTATTTCCTGGGCGAATTAGGTTTAATAACGATAGGAATTTCATATATCGTATATACACCTGACAGGGAAAATAGTTTAAGGCTATACCAAGATATTAATATATCTGTCTTATGAAAGGGGTGGTATGAATCTACACTGCCCCAGGAACAAACCTTGACCCCGACTCACTTGAGCAAGGCTCTGCCCACCTGCGTGAAGGGAGAAAATACAGATTCTTTGGAGGCAGTTCCCCCTATTGTGTCTAGCAGTTCAGGCCACACAGAGCTGATGTGTGCAGGTGTGTAGGGCAAAATTCATAATGTGCTGTCAATTTTCCAATATTAACGAACATGTAACATTTTCTCATGTCCCTTACACCTGTTACGCAGCAGCAGCTAACCTGGGAAGACTAATTTATTTTGTGATTATTTGCAGATTTGCAATTTTTTTTCAGCAGAATGACAGGGAAACTATGCTGAAAGTTGTATTTTTTCATTATTTTGCTTCTTTGACAGATAATTTCTCTAGCAAAACTGGTCTGTGAGGAAAACTCATTTGGTTCACATTGTAGATAATAGTAATTGCCATCTCTTATCTGTAATTAAGTGTGACATATGAAGTTGGCTATATCAGTTGATATAGAAGTAATATTAGTGTAAATCTCAATCGGACCAAGAATTTCTGTGTTCAGTCACGAGTCGGTTCATTGTTTGTGAGGAAGTTTCTGATTTTACTCAGAGCACACAGGGAAGTCAGCGCTGGATGAGCTGAAGGGCAGGTTTATTCGCTAGCTCCTTGCCTTCCTGTGCATCGGGAATATGCAAGCACTTACCTGCAAGGTGGAATAACCTACTCGATATGAATTTAACTACAGAGCACACTAAGGGTGGGACTTGTCTTGCTGATGTTGTTAAGAATTACGTGTCCGGCGTAGGTGTGTAATTGGTAAAGAGATTTGGAGATGTCTAGCTCTGAAATCTGCAAAGATGAATCCAAGCCTGAAAATGCCCACAGAAGTAATTTCAGTACATTTAATAACACGTGTTATTAAAGCTCAGCTTCCTGAGGTAAGTAGCCCAGGTAACTTCGGGTCTATAGCAGAAGAGGAGTCTAGTCAATGTGGCTTCATTTATATTATGTGGAAGAAGGCTCTATGCCTCTACTAGACTGTTCAGCCCATTGAATTGCACTCCAGAAGTGTCTGTGTCTGACCATGAGCAAAGCTCACCCTGACTAGTTTCTTACTTTGGTATCTCTGTTCGTTCCCTGAGTTTAGACTGGATCAGTCCAATGCAGATATACACCATTATAGCTCTTTCATTACATGAAGAAAGAGAAAGATGTATTGAAAAAATGTGACTGCAGAGATGAGACTCTGCTTACAAGTTATATTTTTGTAATCATGCAATAAACCACTGGTGTTGGAAAAAGACTTCCGTATTTTCTCCAATATGAAAATATGGAACTAAAAACCTGTGGCAAATATGAATGAGTTCTATAAAATACAGTTGTTTTGGTACTTGTTAAGGAAATAGAACAGTAAGTCATATGGAAGAAGTCATAGAGTACTAAATTTACTTTGTTTACTATATCAACATACCAGCAGTCGGTCAGTTTTAAATTTAAAACAGGTTTATATTTAGAAAAGAAGCATTTTAGAATTTGACCTGGTATTTGGAATATTTATTTTATCATATAATAGTTTCTTGATGTTCCAAATTTTTCCTTAGTTGTAGCTCAGTTTTCACTATGTAGAAAGAGCGTTTTAAAAATTAATGTCTATATTAAGAATTGATTTGCCATTGAAAAACAAAATACATCATGAAAATATGATCTAAATTATCTGTCCTTTATTTCTGCCAGCCCAGGCTATTTAGCTTTTCTCAACTGTCCAACCAAACTGTTGTTCGCTGCTGTAATACGAATTATTTTAGATGTAAAATACTAATAAATAAGCCTTAACACTGTAAAGTGGTCTGTGCACAGAAATCTCTTTCCTACATAGACCCTTTAAGTTTCTGGTTCTTAAATAGAGAACTATATCTTTTCAACATTTTTACCACTTAATGCTGTTGTCGAAAGGGCTGCTTCTAATGTAGTTGTTACCTTGATTGTGCCATCCTTAACAGTGGCAAGTGAGATCATACTGTGTTTATATCCCCAAAGGACTCGGTTGGAGCACATGCAAGAAGGTTCTGCTTCCTTATCATCAGTGATAGGTGTTCATTTTTTCTTTCTTTTTTTTAGCCACCAGATAATGGGCCTCCACCATTACCAACATCTTCCCTTCCCGAAGGCTATTATGAAGAGGCAGTGCCACTTAGTCCTGGAAAGGCTCCCGAGTACATCACTTCCAGTGAGTAATATATATCTAGACCAGTTTCTGAGCGTAATTCTGTAATTCTGGTAACTCCAGTGTCCTTCAGCTTTTTTAGTATTTGACACCTACATCTCTATTGATGCTGTGGTGACGTGTCGTAAACATGGCTTTGACCATTTGGCGCTGGTTCTAGTTATCCTCACTGGCCATGCATTGGTTTGGTCTGCAGAACTGTTTTGGTGTGCACAAACCAGGCTCCTTTTAGAGGAAACTAAACCTGGAGCTCAAGTTACGTGCACATAAACATGTTTCAGCTGCTGTTGGAGACAGAAGCTCCAAATCAGCCACTGGTCTTTTGGACAGCTTTGAACCATGAAGGTGGTGGGGGCATTGGACCAGGAGTCCAGACTTAAGTATCATCCAGAGAAAACCCCTCTAAACTGGCGATACTGTAAATGTAGAGGTCTCAGAAACTGGTGCTGATCTGCAGATCTACTGGTATGCCTCTATTGCACTGAATTACTTGCTAAAGTATACAAATAAAAAGAAAAAAGGAATTATTGAAAAGACGTGATTTGCGGCATTTCTGATGACACGTTGTGGATAGGGATAAATCACTCATACTGGCTCCCACAAGCCATGTTTGATGCATATGACGGTATTTTTGTGACTGCTCGTTTAGTGCAAAAGGCAGAGGGCTGCCTCTTAACTGACCGCCAGAACGCCCTTCTGCAACACACAAATGCTCTTTCTCACGTCCAAATACTTATCCAAAGAACTAGGCACTTCAGTGAAGCTACGCTGCGAGCACACCGATGAACCGATGAAATGACTGCTGTGAGCATTTACACAGGGTCAGTCAACAGGCCATTATGTACCAAAAAATTGCCAAGATTTTCCTTTTTGCTGCTTTTTTATTGGCTGGGGTAATTTATTACTTGTGTATGGCTGATTTATTGCTAATCGTTATTTTCTGTGGCCCAAAGATTAAAGGCATATCTTCCCCCATTTTATAGCCATTTTTATTAGTTGAACCAGAACAAATGAACAAAATTATATCTCTGTTCTTGAAACACATGCATAAGAGTCACCTTAGAATATTAATTATTCACTTGTACACTGCACAAACTGAGGTTATCTTAATTTACTTAAGAAATTCAAGGTAAGAAAGAGTTTCATACACTGTAAAGCAAATGCAGGAACATACAGGCTTAGCAGAGCAGCAAAATCACTCCTCTCCTCATTTCCTCCCTTGAAATGCTGCAGGGTGGTCCTGCTACACCCTGTAGTCCGGTGAACTGCTGATTTGTGTTTTGTCATTAAACAAGAGCCATGCTCAGGCAGAAAAATATTAATAGAACAAGTATTAATAGAACTGCTAAAGGATCACCTAGGGAAAAAAAGACAAAATATGAAACTGATTTCTTATTGTACTTAACCATCCAAATCCATAAAAATTTTTAGGATATCAGCCTTAAAGGTTCATTAATAATTCCGTAATTTAAGTATATATATCCAGACATTTAAATCTCTGTTAGTGTAACTTATCATCTCACTTGCTGTGATTTTGCTGTATTTTCTTATGTCCTTATCATCTCTTTTAATTTGTGTTAAAAGTATTCCGCTCTTCATCGGTAATAAAGTTGCTTTCAAATTCAATATGCCATTACTAATATATCTCCACTCAAGCAAAACTTCCACTAAATCCAGTGTGTGTGGTAATTAAAATAAGCCACCAAAGCAGTGTATTAACCAAAGATGTAGCCTTAGCTGTTCGGACTGTTTGAGGTGGAGAAGACCATAACAAAGAAGTGCTAAAAGAAGTGCAAGAATAAACTGTTAAACAACTGTTGGGATAGATATCATTATCTTAAGTAAATATTCCTATGGAATATTTTTGTAATGTCATTAATAGCAAGGAGGCTTACATACCTGTGTCCTACCTATAAAGGCGAACAGCAGCAGAAGAAAATTGCAGAATATAGATCATGAAAATGAAATATCCGTAACTTCCCCAAGTCCCTGTAATCTGTTTGTAAATGAAACTTTGTAAATGAACACTTGAATGTAGATGAAAACAAGACTGAATATGCCTTGTCTGATAACTCTCTTTCTCTTTATTAAAACCTACTGGTCTGTACAATTTGCCTAAATTATTACAGATTAATCTTTGGAATACGCTATTGCAAATAATGTGAAAGTCCACTGTGATTTTCACCCCCTAAGAGTGGAAAATTTTGATGAAGGTAAGTGTGAAAAGCCAATGTCAAAAGAACCTAGAATAATCAGAAAATGCAGAAGATGCAAAAAAGGTAGATCAGCAGCACTGGAACGTGTTGTATCAGTGAATCTCAGTCTCTGAGACTTTAGTAGACTTAATAAAATAGCTTTATTTTGGAGAGACACTTTTGACTTTTTCTACACGTTTTGTATTTCTCGCCTTTCTCTCGCCCCCTTCCCCACTCCAAGACCCAAAGAGTGTGTTGACTTGAACATATACACAAGGATTTTTCAGATCTTACCTAAAGTTTACTGTAAAGCCTGTTTCATTACCTGTTGTGATGAGACAATAAGAGACGACAAGATTTAGTCACCAGTAGCCTTTCCACAACTTACCTTTACACAGTTTGCTTCCACAATTTGGCATTTTTTAATAAGTACTTTACTGCTTCCCAAATTCAGTTCACAGTGAATATTAGTTGGAAGTAATACTGCTTCAAAACCCTTTGCAATTATACGTACATGCTGGATTTCTCTGCATAACTTTCTATATAACTACTAAAGCTGTTAAGTATGGGTAGTAGTCTGCCTATGCTATTTATGTTAAAATAGTCACTTTACAATGTGAACAGAAGCTAGTTTGTGTCCAGAGCCTGGCAGCCTTGTTTTGGTCATGATAGAGCAGTTCGGAGAAACAAAGAATAGAAGCGGGATGTGGCAAAGTGCAGCAAAGGTTTCAGCCCGCATGATATGAGTACTCCAGGGTGGTCATCCTTCCTGGTGTGAGACACACAGCAAACTCTTCTTCTGGCCAAGAGTCCCACAACCCAAGGAGAAGAGAAACATGGGGAGTAGTTAATGAGCAGGATATGGCAACAGGTCCCCAGAGACCCCGTTAGACTGCGCGAAGATGGGAGTCCAGAAATGTCAGCCTCAGAAGCTCCTGTTGGCTTGCGTCCTCCTATAAACAGAGATTTGGATGAACCTGCAACTGCTGTGCCAGCAGAGCCCCTCTGCTGATGATACAACTTACTGCTAACATGAACTCTGCACTCAGACTGCTTGTGAGCCCCACAGGAAGTACCTGTAGCATATTTAACATGCAGAATTTCAATCTCTACTTTGAAGTCTCACTCAGCACTTCACAGTTAATTTAATTAATAATCTGAGGCTTTTACCACTTGCCCATATGGAGCTGCCCCAAACCAAATACTCCGTAGCAGAATGGACCTGAAGATGGCAATTAAATTAAATTAAATTAAAAAAAAAGTTTCAAGAGCTTGAAATTTTATTTTCATTTCACTTTGGAATGAAGAGAAACTATTTCGTACACTTCTGTGAAAACACAAATAGGATCAGAATATCTAGTCTTGATTCAGCGATGTGAGGTCTAGGTATATCCCATTCTGACTCTGCACATAGGGAGGAACTGATTTAGAATGAGCTTTCCAGCAATTCACTCTCTTGTCCTTTTCCCAGTTGTCCCAGGTCTCTTTCCTACATCCCAACTGTGTCCTAAATACCTAGCTAAAGCAAATGAGATATTTTTCTTCCACCTTCTGGCCTAAAAATATATCAAAGTCTGCTTGAAATGTTTGGATGAAATTTCAGCTATTGAAAATACTCCAATCAAGTCTCCTGCATGGGAGCATATGCCAGTGGATAACAGGCTTGCCTTCAGGTGTTATCATCTGAGGAGCTTTACTTATATGCCCACATAAACAAATAAGTAAGTATGGATGGTGGAAGAGAAGGTTCTGTCATAACGGCAAATTAGTTTTGTAGTTGAGGGGACTGCTAGAGCTGATTGCATTGTTGAAAATGAAAGGCCTGAACAAAGATTGTTTAATTAAAAAGGAATCTTGCCATTACATTGCCGAACTTAGAGCAGGATTAAACTGTTTGGGCTAACATAACAGGACTTTTTTTGCAGAATGCCTTTAACTCCAGCAGAATCCATAGCTCAAGCAACTGCATTGTCTATTCAACGTTAATTGTATCAGTGCAGGTTCTGTATTTGAGAATTGTATGAAATGCTATGATAGGTAGATAGTACCCCATAATTTACTCTTGTGACCTTTGTCATAATTCAGTGTTTGTTTCTTAATATGCTGTACTATATTGACATTTCTGTGCCTACATTTTGCATTATGCAATAGGGCAAGATGAAGATGTTTCTCTGTAGAGGAATTACAAAAGATGAAGGTATCTGCTAAGTAATATTTTGAAGAGAATAAAAAACTACCTAAAATTCTAACTATTTATTCCCAGCTCATTCTTTCAATTAAAATTCCCAAGGTATCAGTATGGGTCTTCTAGAAAATTTCATAATGGAACAGCATCTCTTACTCCATTAACTTAACGTATTGATATTACTAAGCACTGAAACAGTAATTTGTTCACGGCTGACTTTCAAAAGCCTTAACTTAAAATGAACCCTGTTGAGATTTTCAGTTATTTCAGTACGCTTCATTGCTAAGTGTTTTAACTTGACAGTTTTACGCTTTTCTTAAAGATTATGACTCAGATGCTATGAGCAGCTCTTACGAATCCTACGATGAAGAGGAGGAGGATGGAAAGGGGAAAAAAATGAGACATCAGTGGCCTTCCGAGGAGGCCTCTATGGATCTGGTGAAGGATGCCAAAATCTGTGCCTTCCTCCTTAGAAAGAAACGATTTGGGCAGTGGACCAAACTACTGTGTGTTATCAAAGAAAACAAACTACTGGTAATTTTTATTTTTATCTAGCTATATTTTCTTTGTACCTTTTAGATGATGCATTGATTTTTGCAGGAATCTGGTTTTTGGAATAGGTTCTGCAAACAGTGGCCAAGTCTACAGTAACTTTACGAAAAGAGTTTGGTCATGATTTACCCAAGAAACAGAGAAGCACTGAAATTATAAGTGTATCATTTAGCCACTTAGAACTTTGATTTTTATTGCACTTAAACCCAGGCAGTTCCCTGACACTGGAAAGAAAGTCTGGCCTATTAGCTTCTAACATATTTAATTTGGAAAAAAAATTGCTGAAACTGTAAATCCAATCTTTCATTCCCTGCGGACCAAAAATCTCCTAGGTAGCTTTGGGTATGAACTGTTGGATCAGACCGCTGGAGAGAAAAGTCCCTTGTTAGACTGAGAATTCACTTGGCAGCATATGCCGTGGTAATGTATACACTTTAAATGAAACCTTTGCCATCTGTTCTGCGGTCATTACAGATGCAGTATTCACATGATGCACAGCTGCATTATAGAAAGGAAAGAAACAAGTGGATGTATTTGTTCCTTAAGCATATCTGCTGTGTTTCTTTCTGATTGGAGGCACCGGTAAAAGATTCCGTAAGTTAGTAAATTATCTGCTCATAGATGTTTTGTGTTCTGAAGAGAGAGCCTGTTTGAGGGAAACACTCATTCCTGCGTCGTCGTAAGCGAACTAATGCTTACAGTAATAAATAAGTTGCGGTCTTGGGCACTCCCTGTCTTCCTGTCTGGTGCTTCCAGCAGTTGTAACTAATTATGTAACTAATAACGACTGCAATATCCCAAATGTTAAAAGCTGATTAACAGGTAGGTGATAGAACATTTTCTGTAGAACCTCATTATTCTACCCTCTTACAACATAGCTTAGATGCATTCACTTCCCAAGTGCATTTATGCTTGTGGCGGTACAGGAAATAACAGGATATGAAATAGAGGTACCTGGGTAAGAGGTTTCTGAAAATATAGGTGAAATTCATTTGCCAGTTTTCAATGGTTACTGAGGATTTAATTTTTCTATCCTCCTCTATTTAAGTGTCGAAAAGAATGTTGATTCCGATTCGGTTTGTATTATATTGTGATTTGGTTTGTATTATAATGCCATTATGCTTAGTCCACATTTTTATCACCATATACCAGGATCATGTCAAATTTCAGGACCATTTGATAACAGCTTGAAGAAAAGAAAGACAGAGGGGAAAAAACAGATTTTCTCTGAAGTCACACAATATTTCTTCTACAATTATGTTTGTTGTTCTGTATAGAAATATGTTATTTTTTCTATTTTCATTTCCTTTAGCCATATGTGTGGTCTGAAAAGCTTTTTTTTTTCCTTATAGGGATTGTCTTTCAGTAATTCTGTGACGGGGATTAAGAAAATAAAAATCACAATAGGAGTCTAACGATCAAGTTACACAAGATTGGTTTATTGTTTGAAGGAAGCCTTAGACATTTAACTTATGAGATATGCAAGTAAAACAAATATATGTTCTTAGGGATTAGTAATTGCTTGTGTTATAAATGCAGCTGTCATCATAAAACCAAAATATTTTAATTAGAACTAGACATTAGAAATAACTTCTAGTAGGGAATAATTTTTCACTTAAAGTCCTTTAATATATAAATACTTCAGTTTTAGTCATATATAATTATAAATAAAATGTTTAAATTAATATAAAGGGAATTATATGCTGTTTATTGCTTCTTAAAGTGACTGATGATGTATGTTTTCAAGACTTCATAGCTTGAAAACTTAACATTTTTTTAATGTTACAAACTGAAAATCTGTGACCAGGCTAGAGAAACTTTGAGTTAGTGGGCTTTGGAGAGGGAAGGAGGATTATGAGTGATTTGCAGAGGCTGGGTTAGAGTGGCTGTATTTGCTCAGCCTAAGTTGTAGTGTTTATAACATACTTTTAACAGCTACTGTCTTCCTGACAGTTGCATCATGACATGAATACTGCCGCAGACATGCAAAAGTTCATGTGCTTTTCTCTGTTCACATTTATACTCAACTATTCTATATATGCATATACTAATTAGTCTTCTTTATTATCAGATACCTTTTTAGCCTTTGTGCTTATTTGTATGAGTAAAAGCCCAGTTTACCTAAGTATATAAAATAACTGGACATTCATATCCACAATTAAACGTTCTGTAGTCTGGCACTCTATGACAGCTTGATGAACCGCAACTATACTGATGTGTTAGAAGACGGGACTAGGTCTATAGGTCAAGTGATGTAATGTGAAACCCTTGATCTTTAGATCACCAATTTAAACATAGAGCAGGTCATCAGTGATCAAGCATGAAATGGCTGATCATTGACAGCACTTACTACTGAGGGAAAAATCATTGGGTAAGTCATGTAGTTTTATCCAGGAGCTTACAGAGTAAACTAACATGGAGATTTAAGCGGTTTTGTGCAGTGACTGATTAAATTGAATTAGCTAAAAAAATTACCATCCTGCGACTTTGCCCCCTTTCCACAGTGTGACAATTTTTTCACTTATCTCAAGAAAAAGATCAGCTGAGTAGGGCATGGGCCAGAGCCTTTGTAGCTGCAGCGTGTGGGCACTGGCGTAGGTTTGCCTTCATACACCGGGCTGTTGCTGCAGGGCAGGGTAAGCATCTAGGCTTTAAAATTGTTAACTGTACAAGTTTATTCTGCTGCTACCTGTGAACAGATATCCTAAATCACCCTATTCCTACCTGATGAAGGTCAAGGTTGAGTTATAAGGATAACACAGAGAAGCTTAACGCTCTCCATATGTTGTACCTGTCCTGCAATAAAAGAAGTCTATTAATGTCGGTCTGGAAGTAATTTTGCTTTACAGAGGGGATGAGGAGGAGAAATGCAAAGTTGGCACTGGCTGAACTCTGTGGTATGTGATAAAGGGGTGCGCGGAAAATACTAAAAATTAAAAAATTGTATTTCTATGTAATAACAGCTTTCCCCAAGGTTCAGAAAGGTGATATCTAACTTTTGAACTTTCCTTACATTTATTTAGTGTTACAAAAGTTCCAAGGACCAGCAGCCCCAGATGGAGCTGCTCCTGAATGACTGCAGTATCACGTACATTCCCAAAGACAGCAAAAAGAAGAAGCATGAGCTGAAAATCTCACACCAAGGAGCGGATGCCCTGGTTCTGGCAGTACAGAGCAAAGAGCAGGCGGAACAGTGGCTAAAGGTAAGGGGGGATTTCTGACCAGGAGCTTTTCCACCCACAAAGTGCTTCCAGTTGCTGTTAAAAACTGAGATACAGACAGTAACATTCAGGCAAATCCAGACCACTTAAATCCCATCTAGTTTGGGACTGCAGAAATACAGACTTAATGTTCAGGCCTCAAAGCAACTCCTTGGGCATCCAGCAGCTCAGTATTACACAGCTGCTGCTGCTGCTGCTGCTGCTGCTGCGTATGGTTTTCACTGCTAATTGCACAATAATCTGGCACCGAGAGGAGAGGTGGCAAATTCCCTTCCATTTTCATCTCCAGCATGTTTTCCAGAAAGCTTTGGTGGTGAGGGCACACTAGTAGTGAGCTGAAGGTTCAAATTCCCTAAGGTGGAGGGGGCTGGTACCCAGCTTGCTTTATGGAGTGGTATATTTGCATAACCGCCATAGGCTACCCTGCAAAAATTGGGCATACCAACATCACAGTCACCTTTTTGAAAAGAAGGATCTCTGAGGAGATACCTGTTTGAATTGCTCTGGATGGAGAAAAATCCTTCAGCTTCCTGAAGTCAGTTCAAGTTTGCTAATCCTGGTTTAGAAGGATATCATCTGTTATGGTTTGTTCTGGGAATACAGACTTCTGAGAAATGGGATTTTGTCATCTTCCACTGCTTTCTGTTCAGTGTCTGCAAATGTGGAAAATCCCGATGCAAGGACTGCAGTTTTAGATCCTAACCAGATTACTAGTATTTATGTTGGACTATGCCAGTCTCAAATGTGGAGGTCAGTGAAGTAGTGTGGGAAACTATCACTGCAGTTTCAGTAGCTTGTTTTAAGACCTGGAAATCCAGCCTTCTAAATGCATGCAAAGGTCTGAATGCATAACACTCATCAGGCATTCTTCATGCTGTGCTATGATCTAACCTTATATGGTACTTATTTTTCTAAGAATAAATTGTATTTTTCCAAATACAATCGAATTAAACACATAGGAATTTCCTGATGGCAGATAGTTTTTCTGCAGAAGAGAGAGACATAAAATGCTGCTTAAGAGGTATGAGTTCTGCTGTGGGCTAATTTACTAAATGGAAAATTAATCTGTAATTTCTTATTTTGCAATATTTGAATATATATTTTGGGGGGTTGCAGTCTGTGTGTGTGTGTGTGTTTGGTTTTGACTGGGAGTTTGTATCTTAGCTTAGAAAATGCACTCTCTATTGGCTTTTTAATAGAAACTAATCACAGCCATGTATTTGTTAGGCTTCTTCTAACATCAGTATCTTGTTTCAAGTTATAAAATCTAGCACCATCCAAGTGTCCGACTAACTCACCTAGAGTTTCAAAAACACTGATTGGAATGAAAAGAAATTCGTAAGTCATATTCTTTTCCAAGGGAATTCCGCTGTAATTAGATCATAGGAACTGCACCATTATTTCCTGTGTTGTTCTAAACTTGGGTTTGCTGAATTCATTGGCATTTATCAGACTTTCTTTCATTAAAATTGTTTTCTTTTTTCTTTTTTTTTTTTAATTGTACATAGAGCATTCCCCACACAGGCAGACAGAGCAGTGCTAGATTTTTCCATATCCCAGATGCATTCCTTCTGCTTTAATTAAAAAAAAAAAAAAAAAAAAAAAGACTTTGTACAGTTGCATGTTAACAAAGTTGTGTGTGCTGAGGGTGAATGGCCGGACAGTATGTTATCTGCAAAGCATTTGGAGACAGTCTGACAGTACTTTATTTAGTTTCTTCATGCTGTAAAGCTCTCTATTAATAAAACTCTTTCAAGTACATGGCAGCACTACTGTACGCCCAGCTTCCAAGTCCTCAGCACTGCTGCAGCACTCTCTGTTCTGTACAGTACAAATTGCCTGTCCAACAGCTAACCAAAAGTGGTCTGTGCAGCTCTTGCAACAGAGTTCTGTTCTCAAGAGGAAGTATAGCTTTCTGAGGTAGACAGTATGGGGTTTTGTATTTTTTAAAATGTATCAAAATTTAAATTTGAGGTTTTTTTTCTTATGAAAATAATTATTGTTTTTCATTCAAGCCTTATGTAAAATGAGCATCTGAAAATCACGTGTGGCTTTGTGTAGGAAGTTTCTATACTGAGAAAGGGATCACTGCTTTGTCTTGGGAGAAGCAGTTTGAGCTTTCCCTGCCTGTCACTCAGAGGGGCAGCATCATCCCCAGCTCTGTCACCTACATGTGATTTCCGTAGTTAATACCGTGGGCAGATTCAGAGACTGACAATGAGAAAGGTCTCTGCAACCACATTTTTTAATCATAACATACCTTCTCTGTCAAAGATACTGTACCAGTACATGCCAGTGGAGCCAGGTTATCGCTCAGGAACAACGGGTTCTCATGCACTCATATGTAGGTGTCAAATTAAAGCTTTACTCTTGAGCCTGAAAAGCTCAGAATGGCTTTGGAGGCCAGATTTTCCCATGAAAGCTAAACCAGATGATTTTTTTTGGTCAGATGTAATCGGTATAAAATACGTTTACTTAAGCAAATAATTTTAAAATACCTATTGGAAGACAAGTGTGAAATAAATGCAAAATATTCTAGACCTTTTTTTGTAAAGATGACACCAAAAAAACCCAGCTGATAAACTTAGTGCAAATTGAAGTCTAGACTGGAAACCACAAAGGGAGTTTCAGGTTTACCAGCTAAGAAATGCTTGATGAAAAAAAGATAGCTGATGTCACCGAAGAGCCTGTCAAGCTTTCAGAGCAAGGAGCATAAATTCAGGCTAGAGCTGAGATCATAGCAGTAATATGGTGTGCAACATAAAGTGGTGGAATTTTCCAGACTTGAGTCCTAAAATGTTCCCACAAAAATGTACATGAAAAAATGTGTGCAGTTACACACTCCGACCCAAACATGAGCTTTTCCCATGCGCGCCTGAGTATATGTGCATCTGTGTGTGCTTTTTTGCATTTGTGGTCAGGTAAGGTCTTAAATCTGCTTAAATCTGTTTGTCTCAGCACATCCAACGGACTGGTTGAAACTACATTTATTTGTCAGCATCCCTGGGAAATGCTACATTGAAAATAAAAGGACTACTAAGAACATGACATTACAAGAAGATGCTTGTTTAGTGGCTTCATTCATACAGATGAATGTGTTCTGTGTGCAGGACCTTCAGACTAGGCCACAGAAAAATGCTCTTAATATTAAAAATATATGGATGCCAAAGAAATTAAGTTCTGAAGTAGCTTCTTGTGGAAGACCGGTGGAAGAAGGAAATGGTCATGGTTTCTGGTCCCAAGGCCTTCTCTTCCTCTTAGCATTGCCTCCTGCAAAAATGTATTTCTGATTTATCATGCATGAGAGGTAATCTATCATTTTGGAGTACTGGCCTTGATTTTCATTTTTCCCTAACGTTAGGCACCCTTTGTTAACTTTTCTTCATTTTACGGTGTGCAGCCTTTTCAGCTGAGGGTTTGTAATTGAGCAGTAAATCTTTCAGGCATAAGTAGACATTTCTGCATCTATCATTTTGACAATGTTCAGTCAGTTCTGAACTTGTTGTAATAAGAGGGATTTTTTGCCCTGAAGAGAGAAGAAAATCAAAGTTGTAACTGCATCCAGTCATCCAGAGACCCTGCAGCACTCCTCGTAGGCCTGTTAATCCGGTTGTCCTACCCAGTTGCCATCTCCGAGAACTGCATATTGTCTCTCATAAAAGTCTTTGAACAAAAACATCTTTTTTTTCTCTGCCCTGAGCTTAGTGAGGGGAGTCAAGTAACTTCTGGGCTCCGGTCTTAATGTGGACTGAGTTTTACTGAAGAATAAACTACTGACAGAGCTCTTCTTTTACTAGTTTAAATCGGCACAAAACTGAGCTTGTTAACTGTAAACATTGTGTGGCTGGTTTTACTTTCTATGGGAATTTCCAGCTAGAGATCTCAAAACACTTCAAACATTACTTTCTTGGCTTAAGTAATGTTCCCCAAAGAGGTTATCATCTCCATTTTGTAGCTGAGTAGAGTCAAGTGCTGAATGATCGTGCCTTAAAACTGACTGGAAAAAGTGTGTTTGGGAATGCATACTCGGTACAAGTGATTTCCATATAGTGTTTGTTAGTTTATAAGTAACTTCAGGAACATGCTGTGTCCCAAGACAGTCAGGCTGGGTTCTTTCTCCACTGCACATCATCACCAGCAGTGAAGGCTTTGCAAACTAAAGTAAACTTCCCAGGACTTACACCCTTATTGTCTCAAAGAGATGGTTTTAGATACCTTGGTACAAACCACGGCAAGGTCAGTGTGTTTGCATAAAAACTATTTAGGGCATGATCCGGAGACGTGACAGACTGAGCTGCGTGTGAGAGCTTTGACCAGCCTGCAGGACTGCTGCCAGCGTGCTTTGACAGAGCCAGAGGACCCTGTCCTGGCTGTGAACCAGAGTGTGTTTGTGTGACTGGCACCATGGAAAGTAATACATTACTTTAAAAAAGCAGATGCATATGTAAATTAAAAAAAAAAACACCAGTGAATACAGAACCACAAACATCCTATTTGCTTGTTTTCTCAGGGATAAGTTTTCTATAAGTTCCTGGCTAAAATCACAAATGCAAGCTGTAGCAGATCTCAGAGCAGAACCCAGGAGGGCTGAGACTTGATCCCTTACTTTCACCACGAGATAGTATTCCTCCTCTCTCCTACTTGCAGCTTTGGATGGAAAATTATTTAAATCATACCTAGCTCAGATTTACGGCCTAAAGTGCGGTCTGCATTTCTGCACCGCCTGGGCTGGGGATGCAGCTCCCCTGGCACGGGGTACCTCTGCCCTTGCAGCAGCAATGCCTCCAGCCACCCAGCGCCTCCTTCCCTGGGCTCTGCCCGATTCAGTGGCCATATATGGCAATAGACTTCATGGTCATAACGCAGGAGAAAGGGTACAGGGGTTGTCTTGGTTGAATATGTCAGAAAAGTATTTTTAAGGGGATATACAGGCACTAAAGATAGGCTTGCTGGCTGCTAGTCTGCTAGAATCTCATCCCCACTTTGCTCAGACAAATGGCAATAAGGCAGAAAGAGGAATCGTTTCAGGCTAGGGGATGCTTGAGAATTACGTTTTCCAGTACAGAAGGTAAAAGGGGTTTCTTTTTGAGACTTAAAGCATAGGCTATGATGTGAATAATTTCTGCTTTTCCTCTAATTTATCTAGGTAAACTCCTTAGGGCATTTCTTCTCTGCAAAATGCTAAGAGAGTTTTGGTGCTCTCTTAAGGAGGACGAGATTGATGCTAATGTATGTAGTGTGTAAGGGTCCAAAAGAGAGAGAAAATGAGAATTTAGTCATGCCAAAATGATGAAAAGTCCCAGAAAGTCAGTACTCTTCCAACACTGAAAAAGGAGTGTTTCAGGAATGAGAAATACTGAGTTACACCTGGAGCGAAACCCTTTTCCCTCTGCTGTGTTGTGCATAAGCAGATTTCAGCTTTACCATATTCCTGTGTTCAGAGTTAAGCAGCAGAGGCAGGAGGCAGGGGCTTCAGCCCTCCCCATTTCTAGCAATTCCTGTATTTGCAAAACGTGGGTAGATGGGGATGAGGGAGTGGGTTGGCTGGATGGGTTTCTAGCCTGGTTACATACAGAAGTGAAGCAAATGTGCTGTCAGGCCCTCAGCTTTCTCCCTAATCACTTTTGACCTCGATCATATTAAAAGTGTGAGCTTCTCCTGTGAGTTTCATGAAAACATGAGACGAGATGAGATGAGTTGCTATAATCGCATCCCTGTGGTGAGCACAGCCTGTAGCCCGAACTTGTCCCTCGGTATCCCCCAGGAGAGAGGTCTGCAAGCTCCTCAAACGCAGGAAGACTCAGTCTTATTCCGTATCGGGTCTCAAAGAGATCAACTACAAGGAACCAGCTACAAATTTAGTACTTTTACTCAGAATTTTTGGGGTTTCTGTGTGGCAGGGTCTGGCTGGCAAGCAGCTGGCTCTCTGCTTTTACTGCATAGCCTGTGCTTTTTATCTGAAGCCTGGATCTTTGAAGGTAGCTGGAAAAATCTAATTTGATTCTTCTGACTTTGCATGTAGGGTAAGTATTTTGCCTCCAGTCATGGTGTGTCATTTAAGATATAGTAACTATAGAAATTTGTAGGTGATGACAGGTAAAAACATTTATAGTAAATGTTAGTGCTTGTGTAGTAAGATAGTTTTAAAGAGAGAAATATTCCAGACACACCACGTGGCAGAAATGCCACTGATTTCACCCGTCACTGTCAATGGCTTGGGGCAGGGAATCTTTCCAGCTTTGTACCTGCAAATATTTCCCCTTTATTCTTCACGTCACTGCAGTCAATGCGATACACCGGTGTATATCCTGATCCAGCTGGGGATTCAAGACCTTTCTATAACATAAATAAGGAATAATAATATAGTTCAGGCTGCATAAGCTTTTTCCAGGCCTGCATTTGAAAGAGGCAGTTCTGAAGTCTACTAATTGTAACATTGTAATGGTAATTGTGGTATTTAAAATTCTTGCGATGGAATAACAGAAGATTATTTTAAATTTATTTAGTTTTGAGGATATCCGAAGAAATGAAAGGTCTTCAGTTTTCTGATTACATTTGCTTATATATTTTAAATATTTGAATACATTGTCTGTTTATGATCTCAGTTTGATTTTCCTGGCAGATCACCCTGTGTGTGTGTGTATATGTAATGTACAAAGGCATTTGTGCTGAGAAAAAGAGAATGATTTCCCTTTTCTAATGTGTGCGAAAACTTAAACTAGTAATGGAGTATGCACCATTACAAAGTATTCTCAGTACAGCCTTCCAGATAATGCCATTTTATTAAAAATAACACATTTGGGGATTCCTTTTATTTGCTTTCTAGTTTTGGAGCCATTGAGATACATTTATTCATATTTTCACACATTTCATTGCAATGGATAAAAATTTGCTGACCTCCTTTCCCCACTCTCACTCACAACTATTTTTTAATGAAAATAGTGGTCTTTTGTTTTCATATGACTCCAGGAGACGCCATAGAAAAAACTGACAAAAATGCCGAGTCTTGTGATTGAAATTATGCAAGTTGGCAACACTGGTGGAATGTTTTATCCTTAAAATTTTGAGTTAAAGCTATAAGCATGTGAAAACCACATCTATAATGGCAGCTGTCTGCAAACGTAATTATAGAGAGTGCATCCAGGCAACCATTATATATTAAAGGCATTTCATCCTGGTGAGCTGTAGAAGCATGAGTTTTATGCTGCGCATCGAACACAATTATATTGCACATAGAAGGTGACGAGCAAGTCTTTGCCAGTGAACCCCTTGAACCCAAATGAAGTGTTGGATCCTTGAATATGCATTTACTTCAGATCTTGCCATGAACTTCCATTTGATAGTCTGTCATTTTTTTAATCAAAATTTAATTACAACCCAATTAAACACTTTAGCTTCTTCTTAAATATGTGAGGTATGATAAGAACCGGATTTACTTGAGTGCATGACTTTGCACATACTATTCAGTTAGTGCTGCCAAATCATTTCCCTCTGTTCTGTCTGTAACTCCCATTACTATCTGCCTTTGCCAAAATTAACTAACTGTGTGGTGTGAGCAGATGCTGAAAACATGAGCCATTGAACCAGGGTCATGCAGGAGACAGAAATGAATGTTCCCAGAAACTGTACGGCCACATTTCTCTAGGAAGAAAACAGCAGTGTATTTACACCATGCTGAGGACCAGCAATTGAAAATAAAACAACACACATTAAAAAAATTCTTATGATTTTGGGGAATTTGGGGCTACATTTAACTCTGAGGTGCAAATGCTCTGCAACAGATATATCTAAATTTTCTGTTACAAAGGGTGCCAAGTGCCATGAAATACTGTGCTTGTGTTTCTGGGACAAGATATAGGGAAGTTCAGGCAGTCAAGAAAGGATACTGAAATGTTTTAAGATACTAGCTCAGAAATGAAAATGTAGGTTCACTTCCCCGCTCTGCTTAGATTTTTTTATGTGACATTGAGTGAGTGATTTGATCTTTCTTTTGTTCCTGAGTTCTCCATCTGTAAAATGGGGCTGGTGCTCTTTCTTTCTTTATGGCATATAGTGCCTGTAATTTATGATGTGCTCATGAGTTGTAGCAATTGGGTCTTTGTAAGCCCAGAAACATTTGATTTGTTTAGCTTCACCCTTAAAGGGAACTTCAATGCTGTGAAAGGACTGTTTGGTGCCATTTTTAGCTCTTCAATGGTTTCCACATCAAAATTGTTCAGTTCAAAACTGAAAAGTGTGAAGGGAGGAGCTGGATATGTAAACACGTACGTGTACATGGAAAGAGGAAAGTTTGCCTGTCTAGCGGTAATGTTTCCAGCAGACTAGGATGCCTTTCTTTCTTAGTTCGCTTGGCTCTGCTGTCTTTGCATGGCTGCATGGCTGTAAACCACGCTGTGGAGCTCAGCACCCCCTTGGCATGAGTCTGGATGGAGAGTTGGGACCTGTTCTCATCAACACAAGCAATTTCAGACTGATAATGGTCTGGTGGTAACCTCATGAGAGATAAAAAAAGGTAATTATGCCCTTAGGGAATCATCAAATGTCTTTACTCGTCACATATTTTTACATTTATATAGTTTCAGGTTTTGAAGTTGTTCAAATTCTATCAAAATCTCAGTGAATTCAGTTCTGGATTTTTCTTTAACTTTTTAAAAGCAGACTTAATGCCATTCTCATTTCCGAGAACACATTCACAATTGCTTTGACCTATATCTTTATGTCAATGTGCAAGTATAATACAAAAATACAACAAAATACCACTGCACAGTATTAACTGTAAGTCGATCAGCACTTCATTAGTTTTCCAATAGCAAAAAAGAGCAGCTGGGTAGTGTATTATGCAAAACTCTTGTCCTTTGACATGCGGGACCTTGAATCTAATCCCACTTTTATGTCATCATAATGAAATTAATTTGATGGTGTCAGCTGAGTTCGTATTGCAAAACTAGCACATGGAAGTAAGCAGCACTGCTGGTTTCTTTACTCAGGAGAGCCTTGGAGCTTAGCTTGTCTAGAAACTGAAACCTCCCACCTCTAGACATTATGTTTCCTCCAGGTTGTACATGAAATGACTTAGGGAGGCAGCATGGAGAAGTTGGTGTAGTGGCAGCCTGCCTGACACCTGCCAGCCTAGTAAATGTCTGTGGGATTCTCCTTCCCATCTCCCTTCACATTCATATATAATTTTTCTGATTTGTATTTTATGAATAACTAATAAATTCTGCCTTGTCTCCTAAGGTTATAAAAGATGTGTGCAGCAACTGTATGGGAGCGGTAGACTCCGATGGGCTGTTGTCTAGTTCTCCAGTACACAAGACAGAGCTGGAAAAGGTAAAGTTATCAAAATGATGAATGCAAAATTCCTAGCAGTTACTTATTATAGAGGCACTGCTAGACACTGCATGGTTTAGGGGATCTTCAGACCACAAAGCTGAAACTGAATTTAGGTTCTGGATTTCATGTATTAACTTCTTCATGTTAGACCATTTTCTGGGGGGATCTTCAATAACTATTTGCTGACTCGTGCTGCTGTTTTAGACTATTAGCCCCTGTGTCATTTTTGTTTGTCTGAATACATGCACACATCCTAGAGAGTTAAGACTTCTGCCATGTCTATTCATTTGGTCACGAACAACCAGCAGACTGGCTTGTGTCCATTAGCAGCTTCTCTTTAGCCATTTAGGGTGCAGACTAAGCAGGTCTGATATGTGTGCTGTGATGCAGAGACACTCTCCACCAAGTGCAAAGAGCAACCAGGGATGTGACCCTCAGGGAAGAATAGCTGAAGCTGATACAAAAGTTTTAAGTGAAAGTCTTTTAGTTTTGAGAATTTAGTTCTTGAAGAGCTCCCTGGGCATGCTGAGGTCACTGTGTTGACAGACCCTTTCAAGCATTCGTGCCTCAACACAGAAACTTGGCTATTCACGTGTGGTTGTCTCTGCTGCCTTGACTCAGCAGGATATGAGAGCAAGAATTAGGAAGGAGAACAACCCTGCAGTGAACAATCAGTACATTACCAGCACCAATTTAAGCCCCTGCTCTGTTAAGTCATCCATGTGAGCAGACCCCTCTGCAGACCCTGCTTAAAAGTCCCACTGACAAATGTTTCATCACCAATTCCTGATGGCAAGTTCTAGCTCCGTAGTGGAAGGACGCTACAGTCAGTAGTGTTACGTTGCATTGCACCTGGGATAGTAAGAGCAAAGCATGTTCCATGACAGCTCAGACCTCCTGATTTCACAAGGCAAAAGCTGTTGGGTTTGCATGCTTGCACACACCTGCAGAGTATTAACAAAGTAACTGAAAGTGTCATAAAATAGTTGTTTTCTAAAATGCATGCCATGAAAAAGGGTAGCATAACTTCTCATTTGTTTCTTTTTGTGATAATCTGTACATCTTCTTCATGGCTTCACCACTCATGAATAACGTGGTTACCAAATCTGTGCTGGCATAAGCTCTTTACCATGTCGTCCTATATCTCGTATGCAACCATTACAGAATAATCGGTGCTAAAAATTTATTTCAAAAGCCTCTTTTTTGCAGATATTGAAAGTAGTGAAGCACCATGTAGGAATGCACTATTTTCTGATAAGTTGTAATTGTAAATGCGTATGTGAAGCGTTTTTTAAAGAAATGATTTTAAAATTATTCTTATCTGATCCATGTAATTGTTCATTGCTTAGCAGATTAATAAACAGCAACATTTAGAGTCTAGAAATTAATTAAAAATATATTGTGTATATATTTTTATATACTCAATATAAACAATTTATATACTCAATATAATACTTTATTGTGTATATATTTTATATACTCAATATAAATAATTTATATACTCAATATAATACTTTATATTTTAAATACTCAAGAGTTATTGAGTTATGGTTATGTCACTGTTTTGACTGTACTTTCAAATATAGACCTATTTTGTGGTTTCTGTGCTTTTCTAGAGCCTGTATGGCAATATAAAAATCCCTCTAAAACTGAATTTTTTACTATCGCCTATTTGTCTTCCAAGTGGATGAGAACTTGAAATGTGTTTTAGTTCACAGTAAGCATACTTTTAAATTGACTCATGACACTTCATTTGGCAAAGGTGCCAACATTGTATATCAACTAATCTCTTTGTCCCTGCAGAAGTTGTCATCTGAGAGGCCAAGCTCAGATGGGGAAGGTGCTGTGGAAAATGGCATCACTACCGTGTGCAATGGGAAAGAACAAGGTACGTCTCAGATCCAGAGATGCCTGGTGTAAATAATATGTGCATATGGGGAGCAATAGGTAGTGAAATACCTGGCTTTTGTCTTTTAAAAATAGGCAGTAAAGTTTTTGAATATTTTTATTAGGATTCAATTTAACTTGAAAGCTGAATTATGTAAAGAGTGAATCCTTAAAATTTTGCAGTAACAGAGGCATTTGATGTCATTGTGCAGGTAAAATCAATATAATTAGTATAAGGAAACAGAATATAGAAATTTTGACTCAGCCTTTTGTGTGTTCAAAAGTACAGTTTTTAGAGCTTGGCCGACCACTATAAGCATCTAACAGTTGCTTTTAGCAACTGTAACTACAGTGGCAACATAAATAGTGGGTGTATAGCTTCTAAGCAAAAAAGCTATCATTTAATACTAGAAGGAAAGAATCATGAGTATTATATAAATATATATGTGTGTATACACATACATACAGAGTTTATATATGTGTGTATACACAGATACATAGATATATAAACTATTATGTATGATTATTTATATTAACATACTAAAATGTGTATAATCACCTAATTATCAGTGGGTTTGTGAGGATATATGTATGTAATTTTACATATGCTACTTTGGAGCCATGCATGTTTTGTAGTCCTTATAATCTAACAGAGGCACATCCCAAACCCAGAGGGAATTTTGTCTGAGTTATATCTAAACAACTCAACCCCTATGCTCTCTGCGCCACCCCCCTCTCTGCTCCCCAAAGCGGAAGAAATTCTGTGACTTTGTTAACTTGCCGTGTAGCAGTGGTATCGTTTCAATAAGACATTTTTCTGCGGCTGTCAAGCTGAAGGGTAATGTGAGCTGCAGTGAGCACGAAGTCAATACTGGCCTCGGTGCCAGCGCTGTCTCGCCTTTTGACTCATTTCCTTTATCTTCTCCCTGGGTCGTTTTCCAACATTTCCTGACTATACAGATCTCTGACATACCCAACAGTATAGAACAACGTCAGGTTTTTGTGGTTTCTAGAAGTTGTGGTACATGGTTAGATTTCACCCTATAAAATCTTCTACTAAGCTTTCAAAAAGCGTACTACTGTTTTAGCCTCTGAAACCTGCTGAGAAACATCTGTGATCCAAAAGCTGTTTGTCCATGATGTCCAAAAGTGCCTGGTCGCTCAGGTGCCCCACAAGAGGCACACTGATAGAGCACGTGCTGCTGGAAAACCAGCCCAGCTTAGATGTCTCAAGGAGAGTAATTAAAAATACCGGTTGCTGTTGAAAGTTGTGACCTTCAATATGTAGTAATAAAAATAATAGGCATTAATGACTGCAAGGAGATTAAACTATGCCTGGCATCATTTTAAGTGGTTCTGGATGAAGGTCCACAATTTTGTTACACAATGGATAGGAAACACTTAAGGGAGTATGTGGGAAGGGACACTCGAGAGCAGTCATCTCCAGCGGTCACGGCCAGCCTCTACTCCACTCTTAACCAGCTGCTCGTTTTGATGTAGGGAAGGAAATGAGAAGAAAAGACTTTTGTGACAAAAGTCACTGGCAGTCAGGCAATCAGTATATTCTTTAGACTCAAAAAGATTAAGTCATGAAGGCCTTATTTCTGCCGCCTCTCAGTTCTGCAGGAAAATAAAACAGCAGTGTGAAGGGAAGATAGGACACAAAAACTAAAAAGCACCAAAATGGGCTTATTCCACTGTCTGTTCTTGCTCCTGAGAATGGTTCCTTTGGGCTTCTGTCTCAGAGAGATGAGTTTTTCTCAGTCTCTGGCTTTTTTTTAATGCTTTCAATCTCCTCCCCACTCAACAGCCACAGCTGGTCATGGGCTGCCGCTGCGTGGGACAGAAACCGGTCTGTGGGCAGGTGCTGCCTTTGGGTTTTCCCTCAGGCAGGGGCTGACATGAGCAGATGGGGCGGGTGACCTTCCTCCCTCAAACATGGCAGCTCGTTGCATGTTTAGAGAGCGCAGTATAAGTTGTGAACACCCTTCCCTTAGGAAGAGAGAATTAGACCTTTGCTTGCACACACGTGTCGCTGTATTGGAGTTTGCTGGTGAACAGCTATCCGCACCTGAAAAGCTGCCTTTCCCCCTCGGCACCGCATGTGGCAGGTGACAGATTTGTACAGTCTTGGCTACTGATACAATTTCTAAATAACGTTCCATGATTCCTAACAATTAAACTAAATATGATAAATTATCCCATTGTGAGTCCCAAACTGCTTCTCTGTTTCCCGTGCATTCTTCTTCCCGGTTCATCAGTTCATATAGCCATTTCTCGTATGAACATTTTGTCCTTTTTTTCCTCAGTTTACACAAGTCCATAACCACTAAATGTTCCCTGTTGCAAAGGGAATTGATGTCAATTACAGCAGCTCAATCAGTAACTATCCTAAATGTATTTTTCATCAAAATCATGTATCGGGGCAAGTTGATGGATGTTTTTGCTGCCCTTTCAGTTAGCAGAGAGACTGTTGCTCTATTGATGGAATCCAAATTAGGCCACTGAATGCAATTTCCGAAAGTTCATTTCGTTTGTTCTGTTTTGCAAATAAAAGGTCTTTTTTTCTGATTCTGTTTAATCTTAGAAACTTTTTTAAAAAATTTATTAGGATTTTAGTCAGATAGGCACTTTTAAAAACTATATCCATAGTCCTTGCCATGTTACGTTCAGCAGCTCAACATGCCTCAGTGCACGGAGCTGTAATATTACTAGTGATGTATTAAGTTAATGGAAGCATAGACTGAATGTTAGCAAAATACCTCTTTTCAGCAGAGCTTCTTCTTTCCAAGCCCTCATGATCACAAAAAGTGCCAACTTCTAACCATTGAATGCTTATACTGATCCCACTAATTTAATTGTTAGTAGTTAATTTATAAGTCTTGTCTTTCTAAAAGGTCCATTATTATAAGATACCTTAATTGTACATGGCAGGAGTATTTTTGCTAGGCAAGCATATTCTGTCTTTGTTGTGTACTTAATTGTTGAAGTATTTTGAGGTAAATGTTTAGGAACAATGAAGGATCATCTGGCTGGATTTTTATTCTTGTGTATATGAGCTAAATTTATGTGCAGGTACCTCAGTCATACTGATAAATTAGATGATGACTGCTGTGGAAAGAGACTTTCAGCTTGATTAGATTAAATTAAATTAGAAGCTTGATTTTTGTTTTTCTTATCCTTCTGAATGCCATGATTTTTATAGCACAGAGGTTATTTATAAGCATCTGCATTAGAGAGGGCATATGATGTTTATCTCATTGCAGTCTGCAACTTTTGTACAAATGTTCATCTTGCACAGGATTGCTTGTCTGAACTACTGTTTTTATTCAGGTTCCCTCTAGTCATTGGTTAATTTAAACACACTAAAATACACACTTTTGCTTTCTTAATAGTGAAGAGGAAAAAAAGTTCAAAATCAGAAGCCAAGGGCACTGTGACTAAAGTAACAGGGAAAAAAATAACGAAGATCATTGGTTTAGGAAAGAAAAAGCCATCAACAGATGAACAGACCTCATCAGCTGAAGAAGATGTTCCAACATGTGGTAAGTGATTTTTCTCCTTGAGTCTTAAATGCACATTGCAACTAAAACTTTATAAAATTCTAGAGTAGAAATTCCTCTAAAATTGCTTTTACTACTATAATTCTTCCCCCAACATCAGAAGGATGCACTCAGACTGAAAGAGGAGTAATCAAGAGCTTATAATTTGAAAAGAGACTAGAAGAACTTGACTTTTTAAATAAAATGGTAGCACAGGCTCAGAAGACATATCATTGCTCTTTGCAAAGGTGAGGGAGAAGAGAAGCGTGGACAAAAAGCAGAAAGAAACAAGAGCTGTTTTCAAACAAATGGATATAAAATGAATATAGGCTGGACTATGAAATAAATTTAGGCTAGGAATTAGAAGAAGGTTCTTGGGAAGGGATCCAGTCTTTTATGATGGATCGTGGTGAGGTTTTATGGGATGGCAATCAAGACAGCAGTCGACTGGCCTCAGCCAAAGTGATTTAATTGTGGGTTCCTAAAGTGGTACATATTGGGCAAAACTTGAATGAAGTAACAAATTTCTAGTAAGCTATTTTAACTCCTAATGTTGATCACTCCATACGACAGCTGTAGTGCTTGGCAGCACCAAGGAAGTATATAAAAAGGCACGCAGAAAATGCTTACGGTTTGTGCCTTAGCTGTTAATGTTTGCTCACAGTTTAGGATTTTGCGCAATGCGCTTAGCTGATGTCCTCACAGCTCTGGTATTTGCAAACAATGCAATGTATTTACATTCTCCTGTTTGCCTTCTGGTGCTCCAGTATGAAGTAACACTTTCATACGTGAATGAGGTTGAACCCACCCTTCTCCCAATCCCTTCCAAAAAAAAATTTCATAGAAAGCAAGCTGTGAAGCAGTTGCACCGGATTCTGAATTTGGATTTGCCTTTTCCCCTTTAATTGACTAGGAAAACTTTGGGAAACCCAGAAATCTGTGATTAGGCAGCAGTTGGCAGAACTAATCGGTACATGAAGTATGATAGATGCTTGCCCAAGGTGAAAGAAGCAGATCCATGGACCACCAGCAAGAACTTCATAGATTACAGGTGGCTCTCAAGCCACACTTTAGGAATCATTCACATAAGCAATCTTTGATTAAATAAGTATGTGTGTATATATGTCTATACATCAGCTAAGTACAGATGTGATTTATCAGCCAAAAGAACAGCTGGGAAAAGCTGTGTCCAGCCAGATGCATTGTCTGAAGCATCTGGCTTCCATAAAAGCTCAAACTTCCGGGGTCTCATACTCCATTGATTATTCTGTATTATGTGAGACATTAACCACAGCTGGACAGTCTAATTCCTAGAATTTCTATCATTATTTTGGATATGGACATAAGTATAGCCATTACTATTGCCTGCATTTGGCTCTACTCAACACCACTTGCAGATTTTACAGGAAAATATATAAGTGTCTAAGCTTTGGTCATTGCAGGAAGGCTTTGCAGAAGGAGTTTCTCACCACCAGAAATTTGGCTTAGTGCAATGCCCTCTGGGAGGTTGCTCCATAGTTGAAGGCTTGTACACTTTAAAAGGCTCTACCTCCCATGAACAAAGGGAAAAGCCCAGCAGAGCTGCAGGGGACACCCAGCTAGAGTGGAAATGGAAACCCACCTGCACTCAAAGTCACGGCAAAGCTCTTCCCTACAGCATCACCGGTCTTTGCCTGGGCTGAGCTGAAGTGCTAATGCCCCAACTGGGAACACACTCAAGGCATTTTGGTCATGTAAACTGTTGAAGTTTTAAGTAGGGATATGTGGGAGGAAAAGCATGGGATCCTGCTTAGTTCAAGTGAAGTAGGAGGGTTTGGAAGAGCTTTTCTGAGCGGTGCGTTGGGAGCAGAGGGGGAAGAAAAGTACTGTCTGAAAAAAAGGACTCTCACTCCAAAACAAGCCAGCTGGCTTGCACGTGAAGGGTTTTCTGTTTCTAGGGATTATATTATAATGCACAGCTATACAGGGTTTTGTTACAGGAGGAGGGAGGAGAGCTGGAGAGTGTGATCATCACAAGGAGCCAAAATCAGAGGATTGTGCACATCATCCTTTTTTTATGGCACCTTCCAAGATGTGTGCAATTCTGATCTGCTATATCCTGTTGGATCAAGCTTTGCCATTGGAACCATAATGTTGGAAGGGGAACCCAGAAAAATGAATGATAAATCATAGTTTTAATGAAAACCAAAGAGATAGCTATCCAACAGGACTAAATGAAAATCAGACCAGAGATAGAAGACTTTTTTTTTTACATAAATTCTGGCCTGTGCAAGATATCATTTGTTTCCGTCTTCATAGCCTGTTTGGAAGCAGCAACATGCTGAATTCATGTACCGTTCGTAATGTGGAAGTAAAAGATCTTTTTTTTTTTTTCATTCCCAGACTAAATAAGGCAGGAAAATTGGGCATTGTCTTGATTTTAAGGTTTGAGTCTGGAATGATTGTTGCTATGGGACAGAGAAGGAAAAACAAAACAGTGCCCATTTAATGATATTATATGCCTAGACACTGTATCCGATACAGAGCATGATAGGAAAAGCGGGTTTTTTTAAAAGCCACTTTGTTCATGAAATTTTGATTTGTTGTAAGGGTACTGTATTATCCCTGGAAAAAAAACCCCACCTTTGTTTAAACTTTTGTCTTAAAGTTTAGCTAAATTTCATATACATTTACTTCTTGAATTTTAAACCAATATGAATTTTATTTTTATTGGCATCAGTAGCGATTTTTTAAGTTCTGCTTTAAAAGTGTTGCAAACCAAACGTGCATTCTTCTTTCTAAACAAAAGTAGAACATATAACATCAATGCTTAGTAGGTCCTTAAAACACTGATTTTGGATGTTACAGAAGGTAGCTCATCACCTAATTATATAATAGGAGCTGTGATTTTCCCAGAAAATTTTGGTCAGCCACAGTTATCAAAGCCATTACATACGGAGAAGTGAGCACACTGGCTGTGTACGTACCTTTTTATCACAGTCCCTCTCCCATTCTTACTAAAGTCTTGGGGATCAGTGTGCTCCTGCTCATCCAGCCACCGCAGCAACTAACAGAACAGCCACTTGCACGTGAGCGGGATCACATCTTTATATGCTTTTTTCTAGGTTATTGGCACAGTGAAAGTTTTCATTAAAAGAAATGGGGCAGGGTCATTTATTTGTCTTCCTAAAATCCATCTGGACTTTCTATTGTAAGAGGAAAAAGTTGTTTAAGTGCTAGCATTACATTGAAAAGTAAGTTTCTTTTTTTTTTTTTTCTTTTCAAAAAAAGTCAGGAGTAAAATATCTCACGTTTCATTTTATTGCAGGATATCTCAACGTGCTCTCAAATAACCGTTGGCGTGAGCGCTGGTGCAGAGTGAAAGATAATAAACTGATTTTCCACAAGGACAGGACAGATCTGAAGACACATATTGTTTCTATCCCTCTCCGTGGCTGCGAAGTCATCCCGGGACTGGATTCGAAGCATCCCCTAACCTTCCGCCTGCTCCGAAACGGGCAGGAGGTCGCTGTGCTCGAGGTGTGGTGGTTTGCTAATGGCTATGACTTGTAGGAACTCCCACAAGCTAAATTAGAGAAGCACTTTCATACAACCTGGCCATTCAAAAAATCTTTGGAATAGTATTATTGCAGAGCTCGATAATAAATACTGGAAGGAGAAACAAATATTAAGAGTTGTAGGCAAAGAGAGAACTGACATTTAATGCAGTTCAGAAATCTTCTCAGTAAGATGCTTTTCTCTGACCTTCCCTTGACCTGTTACTAAAATATCCCTGCTCCTTCTCTATACACACTTTTACATCAGGGATATAATCACTTTGGGTAAATAACTTTGCAATAATTAAATAATGGATCCCTGTTGATGGGAACTCTAGAGCTCTTAACTCTCATTTGTCTGCTACTTACATGAACCACTTTCGCTCAGTCTGTATCTGTAGTAAGGTAATTCTGCAGTAAGAAGATAGAGCGTGCCAGGATCCGGGTGAGTCTCTTGACACACCACATGTGTACACACTGGCACAGTCCTCGCACTTCGAAGGTCATACCTTCATCTGTGTTAGGTGGGTCAGGATTTTCTGAGGGGCTTTATTCATCATATTCATCGAAAGCTGAAATGAGAAGACACTTAAAGCCAAGTATAATGAAGATATAGGAGGAGGCAACCTTTTCTTTTCAGTGGCAGGATGGACACTTTGACCACTTTGGATTTCCAACTGCAGGTCACGTTAGTCTCCTGTCCTTGCAACCATGCCTGTTACCTGTGAGCAGTGCAGAGAAGTTGAAAAACTAGAAAACAGCTCAAGGAACTGTGAAAGGCAATGAAATATTTAAAAAGAATGAGAAATTTAGAAACCACACAGTTTCCTTCCCCCCACACTTTTTTCCATTATTTATTTTGCTACTGTTTAACTTTGCAATTGGTGAATTGAAGCAAAATATGAAAAAAAAAAATATTTTAACAGTATTCATGTTTGTACTTGCGCCATTAGGAATATAAATGTCACCATCTAGACAAATGTATTGGAATTTTTCAAAAACCAACACTAAAATTTCTTCTACTGATTCTTTTTTTTTTTTCCCCTCGTTTCTACTTAGGACTAAGAGTTTCTTCTTAGGAGTCATCCTAACTAAAATCCCCCAGCCTAGCATAGGAAAATAATTCTGTTATAGCTTTCAATTTTCTGAAGTCTAAAATAAGCATGACTTGAATCTAAATCCACTAGCCTTAAACAATTATTTTTTCTTCTTTTTTGGAGATTGCCCATTTCATATTACATCACAACTGATGACCACATAGCTTACTTAAAGTGCACTCCTTCTAGCAAAGCAGATTTAATAAGAAATCCTCGGGGTTTTAGGAGTTCAGCAGAGAGAAACCAGAGCCTTTCATACAATGTGGTAGCAATTTGTTAGCCAAAAAGAATGCACCATTTCGAAATAATGCTCAGCTCAGTGGCAGACTAAAGACCTGAAGTACGCCCTTGCCCTCTCCTCGCAGGCATCCTCCTCCGAAGACATGGGCAGATGGATAGGAATTTTGCTGGCGGAAACGGGGTCTTCGACAGACCCCGGCGCTCTGCACTACGACTACATCGACGTGGAAATGACGGCAAGCGTCATCCAGGCTGCCAAACAGACGTTCTGGTGAGAGGCGTTCAGCTACCCGGGTGTTTCCAGTACTGTGAGAATTTATATCCGTGCGCTAACTCCGGTGCCAAGAGAGCTTATCAAAATCCACCCCCCTTTGCCAGATATTGAACTCCTAAAGTGTTTCAGCATTGCAGCATGTTAGATGTGTTTATGATTATCGTGTTGGCATCCTGCTAAGTTCTGTAAAAGATGCAGACACCATCCAACTTTAGTCAAATCTTTACTCATTTTTTCAGTAAGTCTCCTTATCAAATGCTATATTTTAATATTTTATTTTGCCTGAAGACTTAGAACTATCCCTGGACAAGGAGAAATATGCTGAAAATTAAATAAATATGCAACTACGTAGCTCACATTTATCTATTGGCTGTATTTGCTGTACATATAGCCAGCAAATTATGCTGTACATAAATGCACAGCAAATTTAAATCTTGGATAGTCACATTCTCAGTGTTTCCTTCTCAAGTTCTTTTTTGATTAATTAAAAACTTCATCAAGCTTACACCAGTTCAATTAATTTCTGGGGTTTAATTTAGGAGGTGGAAATTGGGAAGGTGTCTAGGCCGCAGCACGGAAACTCTGTTTAAATTGCAAATCAGTACAGTGAATTCCCCATCACTCATCCTGCGCTAAGAAAAGTAATGCATACTCAGCATGTATAATGTTTTACAGGTTCAAATCAATTTAGGCATTAAAGCAGTCTTTGGTGAGAAGAGACTGTCATTTTTCCTTGGCCAGATGAGGTGGTTTAGAAACGGGAATGAAGGAACAGTTGGGACAGGTGGGATGCTCTGCTGCAGACATAGCCCGTGGTTTCCCAGGGTCAGAAAGCGGGTGGCCTGAGGAGACAGCTGGCAAAGGCGTCATCCCTCTTCTCGCTGCAAAATGAGAATACCCACACAAATTTGGAATTCGTGTGACTTAATAGAGAATCACACCCCATCTGCCCATCATAACTTTAAACGGACTGAAAATGCAAAAAAAAAAAAAAAGGCAGAAGCTTCAGAGGTTTCCAAAAGAAGACTCTCCTGCCATTAGCGAGGTGTTAAGAGAGCTTTAACGAGAGCAAATGGGCAGCTTCATTCAGGATCTGGTTTGAATGACTTCTGATAGAAACCAAAGTGACTCAGTGTTACCACAAGCCCAGTTTTGTGAAAACCAGATCATTCTGATAGAATCAAAATGCACTTAGCTTACAGACTTACATTAATATTTGTTTTGAAGTTAATAGGGCTCAAAAAGTTTATCCTGTGTTGACATGTATTTTTGCTTCAGTCAGCATCTAGCAATAACCACATTTAAGAAAGAAATAGAATGGAAACCTTCTCCACCTGAATACTGCTTGGCTTTCATTTTCTGAACAAATGTGATATTAATTGGAGCTAAGTGAAAAAACATGCAACTAGACCACATGTTAGAAAGGAATGTCAAACAACTTGCAAAGTAGCAGAATTCTCCTATTAAGAATTAGTTAAAATTCATTGGGTGTCTTTAAAAGACTGTAAGAGCTTGTCAATAAGCAACTAGAGTAGCTGTCTGCTGATTTTCAGCTACTCCTAGAAAATGAGGACAAATAACAATGATACTTAAGTGTTAATAACATACTATTGCTGCCCTTTATAGAGTGAATATCAGTATTCCAAATTAACTGCAGTTATCATTGAAGCTTTGATTATCGCAGTCACTTCAGGATTATTGGTTATTCGTTTCCCGAGACTGATGCTTTGCAAAACGATCAGCTCTTCATTAATAGTCCCATCAATTTTCTTCATCTAAATCATTAGATATCTAGGAAAGGCTGAAGAAAAAAATGCTTCCAAGCAAGTTTTCTCCATTTGCTTCCCATCTAGCAGTTTCAGAATACAATTAACTTACATGGATGCATCTGTAAACAGGATTAATGAGGCTTAGTGAAATAATGCTTATGAAGTGCTTGCAGATACTTAGATAAATCTCAGCTTCCTTTGGTGGTGGAAATAGTTACTACAGGTGCATCAGATGTCATTAATGAATATCCCAGTTTTCAGACATGGTTATTACACATCACTCTACCTAAATAGAAAGAAATACAATAATGGCTCCAAATGCAGTCCTTCAGACTAACCAGAAACACTTGAGTAATGTCCTTCATTAAGAGGAACAGTAAACAGATGCAGCCCTTTAATAATGTCTAATAAAGTATGAGATACGATAAAGTTAAAAATATTTTTATCATGGAATTTATCTTGGGCTTTTTGTTGTTTGTTTGTTTGAAGTAAGAAAAGCTTCCGTCTAATGATTATTCCACCCCTGCCCTGCCCTGAAAGGTTCACACCAAACTGGGCAGGTTCATCCCTCCTGTGAGCCCGGGTCTCCCGCGGCTCAGGTGAGCCACAGTTGGATGAGGTCTGTCTCCCTCTGAATGAGAAATTCAATGGACTCCATGTTATTCCAAAGCCAAAAGAAAGCAACTGTTGAAACCACAGCATTCTTGAGCTCCGGCCAGCGCTACAGAAGACCCTCTCTGCTTTAATAGGGCTTTATCATATTTTATGAATGTCAGCACACAGTCTGAATAGTTCCATTGTTTGGGATGGACAGCTTTGTTTTCCCATTCACGTACACCTTAAACTATATCCCCCATCCCTGGAAACATTCAAGGTCAGGCTGGACGGGGCTCTGAGCAACCTGATCTAGTTGAAGTTGTCCCTGCCCACGGCAGGGGGGTTGGACTAGATGACCTTTAGAGGTCCCTTCCAACCCAAACTGTTCTATGATTCTATGATTCTATAGAAATTATTTGGGGTCTCACTCTATATATTGTTCAATTTCAGCAGTTGCTAGAATGGAGTTGTCATTGCTATTGGGCCTGATTCTGCCATTTTCTGCATTGTTAGATCTTTGCTGCCAACACAAAACCCATTGTAGTCCGTGATATCTTGCATGTGTTCTGCACAATTCCAGTAAAACAAGCTGCAATATTGATTTTGGGGAGGGGGGGGGGAACAAACAAACAAACAAACATACATATATATATATATATATATAAAAACAGTGTATGTAACAGTATATGTAAGTAACAAGCAATAGGACGAGAGGAAATGGCCTCAAGTTGCGCCAGGGGAGGTTTAGATTGGATATTAGGAAAAATTTCTTCACCAAAATGGTTGTCAAGCACTGGAACAGGCTGCCCAGGGAAGTGGTTGAGTCACCATCCCTGGAGGTATTTAAAAGACGTGTAGATGTGGTGCTTAGGGACATGGTTTAGTGGTGGACTTGGTAGTGTTAGGTTATCAGTTGGGCTTGATGATCTTAAGGGTCTTTTCCAACCTAAATGATTCTATGTTTCTACATATATATATATATATCTCCCCCTTTTGAAGTGTCCAGAGGGCTCAGATCCACTTTGTGAAACAGAGCAAGAATGAGTAGTTGTATGCACAATTACCCAGACAGAGAGTTGGGATGCATAGTGCCATTGTGCACACTCTGCCCAGACAAAAGTTCTGATATGGTAATGAAAAATTCCCAGATTTTGAGGAAGAAAATATTCGGCAAATTTTAATAGATACGTGAACTTAGATTTTGTCAAAGTTCCATTTTTTTACAGATTTTTGCTGGATTTGATTCTTGTTTCTCCCAGTTCCTAAGTTCACATCCCCCCTGAACGTGCATGCGCCCAGAAACACCTGCTTCTCCCTGATGCAGACAACAAGGGAACTTTTATGGGACACTGGTTTAAAGCTGGTTTAAAACGCAGATCAGCAGGTTCCCCTGTAAACATGCCACTGAGCAGTTACAGCTGTTGCCCTCCTGGCTTTCATACAGTCTTATCCCCACCGTAAGAATGGAGTACAGGAGCATGTGTTGTAATATTGGCTGCTAGCAGCAACATGTGAGTAGCAAAAGAAGAAAACTGTCCTCAGCTTTCCTGCAGGAAGTGAGAAGATAATATGCTTCCAGGCTACATAATCAGATACAGGGAACACACCGCTGAATCATCGTTTAGACTTAGGTTCAAGCACTGGTTTTTATTATTTTTATTTTGCTTTATTCAGTTTTATGAACAGACGAGTTATATCTACAAATCCGTATCGGGGAAGCACTGCCAATGGCTACGCCTGTCCGAGTGGAATGGCACTTCATTACGATGATGTTCCCTGCATAAATGGATCGGTAAGAATTGAATTTGCACAGAACAAATGGTTTGCATGTGTTGAATGCATGGACATCTGAAAATTATATTATCTAAAAAGCCCCACTGGTTAGTTTCCACATGAACTCCTATTTTTTTTTGATTGGAGGCTGCAAACTTCTCTCACACCTACAGAGTATTAGGGGTGTGGGACATACTGTTTACATTAACCTGCATGTGAGCCAACGTGCATTTAGAAAGCAGTTGCCTGTTGATGATTTGTTGCCAAGTCCTTGAATATAATACTCACTTGAGGGGGTATTTTTTAGATCACACCGGACCTGGCAAAATTAAGGACTCAGTTACACCAGGCACTTCTTGGTGTCTGTTGAAAAAAAACCAAAACCAAACCGCTTCTCAGTCCCTGGGGCTGCATTCATGATGATGGCAGGTACTGCTCATCCCAAAGGGGAACCACAGTGGTCACTTCCGTCTTGGTAAATTGCAGAGCTGATCGTAGGCAGATGCATAATAGGGTTTAACACATAGTGGATGTTAACCCATAGCAATATGTGGTCCTCAGGAAAATTTACAGGGGAGCTACAGCCTGTGACAGCTCTTAATTTGGGCTGCTTCAGAAAGGCTGAACTCAAGAGAAATTCAGAGATTCAAAGTGTTAAGTGGACCACAAGTTCAGTCCTCCATCATGTCTTAATAATGTCAGAAAGATGGTAGAAAACCCCTCTTGGGAAGAAGACATGACCACATGTGTGGTGAGTAGTCTGTATGTGTAGTTCTTGGATGTGCTCAAGCCTTTGTATGAGTAGTGTACTGCCACAGCCAGGATGGGTTAAGGAAGGGTATTTGCCAACCAGATTGGTTTCTTTGAAGAGTAATTAAATGAATCACTGGAGTATTGTTGTTGAGCTTTCCATTTTTCTGGGGGAAAAAAAAAAGGGAAAAAAAAAAGGAATGGCCTGTAGCTATTTTAGCTGGTTAGCTCAGAATAATAATTCTCCAGCAAATAAAATGTAATACTAGCATACCAGCAGCTGGTATTCACTGGAAAGACATATAGCCTGAAGAAAGAAGAAAAAAAAAAAAAAGAAAAAACCCTCTTGGCTTCTGCTAACTGTTAGGCCAAATTACTTTTAACAACTCATGTACCAGATGTAATCCCACAGATTCATCTGTGTAGCCTGTGAGTATCCCCCTGTTAACACAGTCTGCTTGTGCCCCCTCAGTGCTAGAGCTAACAACTGAAGGTGCAGTCTGTGAAACAGCAAGGGTAATAGGATAGCACCTGTTTGGTCATACTATGGAAAATGCACAGGACTGAGGCTATGAGCTATGTAATGCAATGCTTCCTTTCCACACTGTGTCCTCCCCCACTTTCTAAATAGTTTGACTCAAGTGTAAGCAATAAGCATATGCTTGCTAAACACCGAGGGCTTGCTATGGTCAAAAGAATTACTAATGTTTTAATTTCACTTAGGAGTTTCTGCATGGTATATTGTTAACTAACTGCCAAAGTGTATGTGTTGCAGTGGGAACCAGAAGATGGCTTTCCTTCTTCTCGTAGCAGGAACATTGGAGAAGAAATGCTTTATGATAACGCAGGCCTGTACGATAACTTGCCGTCTCCAAAAATCTTTGCGCGCTATCCGCCAGCTGACAGGAAACCCAATAGGTTATCTACTGACAAACTCTCCTCTAACCATTACAAATACCCTGTCTCATCCAATCTGTCTTCTGCTCAGTCTGTCACTAATACCTCTGCTGTGGGGAGGGGATCTGGCTCGCAGGTACTGTACTATTTAATACTTAACAAAGCTTTTTATTTTTTGTCTGTTCTGTTTATCTGGTTGTTATCTAAAGGGCCTTGGGCTATTTCAGTCCCTTAGTGTTAGCACTGAAGTGCTTAGAGTTTAGTCATGAGTCCACTGCAAATGAAACAGATTTGCTAAGTTGTAAATTCTGATGTGAAAGTATTGGCACTTGGGAAAGGCTTTCCCCACAAGTTCTTGACGATTTACAGATTGTGGATAACAACAAAAAAATAGATGTGGCCTTCCAAACTTAACCTGAATGCATATCTAGCCGCCTTCTGTCTCCTTAGGCAGTGACGACTTAAAAAAAAAAAAGAAAAGTGAAAAATGACCTGGCTGTGAGAGCAAATTTGCCTCTCTAGAATTTTACTAATCTGTATATTGTATATACTATGGTTATAGATATTGTGAATATGCACATATATATCATAACATGTACTGTATTTTATATATACTAAATGATATTGTATATAGTGTGTATATACCATATTTAAATTACTGCCTGTTATTTTCTTCCCCTGCAAAAAAACTAAGCCTATGTCTATGCTGCTTTCTGAGGGTGGTCTCAGGCTTCTGGACCTTAGCTGAAATGCGAAGCTACAGAGCAGATGAAATCCTGTGTGCTCAGCCTCAGTAGCAGACAGGCAGACCCCGGCAGGGGGGCCAGAGCAAGCCTTGCTCGCAGCCACGCCAGGGACCTTCTCTAGAGCCCATAGCCAGTCTGCAAAAGCTGGTCGTTGGCATAAGCCTGTGAATGTATCACAGATGGGTGGTTTTCGATCTAACCTGAAATGGAACAGTTCGATAAGTGTTTCCCTTGTATAAGGTACCTGTCACATTGTGTGTTAACTCACTTAACCCTTACAAAAACTTCATGTTGGAATATTAGAATTCAGTGGAGTTGCAGAATCGGAGGTGGACCCGAGCAATAAATTGCCCTAATCCTTGGCTGCAGCTGCAGGCTTCTCGTTGCACTCCTGGTTCAGTCCTCAAAAGCTTTTGGAAGCAGGTGACCAGAGCGTGGCACACCTATGCCCTGTGCTCAGCTAAGGCATCCCCCGTGGAAACACTACGATTAGTCAGGACAGCGTTGCTCTTCCCAGGGTTCAGTTCATTGCAGGGGAGCCCTCTAAATGGAAACCCCTTGGACATGAAACGTGCGGTTTCTGGTAATCTTGTGAGTTTGCCTGGCCATTATGAGAGGTTGCTTTTTTTAAGTACAAAAAACTTTTAATTAGTAGCTAGAGGTTGTATATGAGGAAATTGATATGTTAACTCCTAACATTTAAACATGTGTAATAATTATATTGTTTTGCAAGAAAAAATCCATGCACCACAAGGATGGCAAGGTCATATAGTAAATAAGAAACAGTGTTGAATTTTTGTGTGGCAAACCCTGTTGGGTTTTTCTATATGAAATTAACTCTGACAAACCTGTGTTTCAAAGGTACAACTTTTCTGCCTCGCAATGGCTGTCTTAATATAGTAAATGCCAGAGTTTTAAATAACTTGGAGACCGTGATGCCGCCAGAGATGGGGAGTTCATCCCCTTGTTATACTGTGATTGCTGGTGTGCCTTCTGCTGAGCAGGCAGCTCTCAAGACAACATCTCTGGAGGAAGCGCTGTCTCCAGCTCAATCAATGCGCTCTGTTAAGGTTCTCCGAGCAGGTGGCTTTTTGTCAAGCTTTGCCCTTGATGAAAGGGTGACTGTAATGCCAGTGGCACAGGAATAGCTGGAGCCCATCTGTACTTTTGTTTTCAAACAGTTTAAAGGCAAGAAGCCTCCTGTGACTGCTAATGGGATCACCGGAAAAGGGAGAACTTTAAATAGCCAGCCGAAGAAATCTGAATCGGTGTCATGTGTGAAGCGCACCGCATCCAGTAAGTATTTCTTGCTGCTGCCTCACTTGTGAACGGAGTCATGAGGCTACCCAAAATAGCTGTCGTCTTAGCAAACAAGATAAAGGACCACTGTGGTTCTTCTGTGGCTGAGAGGCTGAGCAGGAGATGCCCACCAAGACTTTGAATAGGGGATATTGTGTGCATTGGTGACCCAGTACTCCAGCCATGCCACGAGATAAAAGGTTGTCATATGGAGAACGATAAATATGAAATGTGGACCCATGGCTGCAAAGTCATGAGGGCAGCAGGAAAAAAAAAAGGGTAATGATTCTTCATTTGGGGCAGAGAGCAATTCTGTCTTCCTGTTGGAAGAGGAGGATGAGGAGCTGGGAAAGACGCGAGGACATTATGTTGCTCAAAAGTGGAATTATTCTTATCACTAATGAAAAAGAAAAGGTATAACAAAATGATGAAGACAACCATACAGCTCAAAAACTTCCTCAGAGAGATGAGATTTCAATTGGCAAGTGGCACGTTCAGAAAGAGGGGTCTTCTGGGCAGGTGGATTGCCTCTAGGAAATCCCTAACAGGGATTGCTTTGCTTAAAGAAGAAAAGACAAAAAAGAGCTAGAATCATATTTTTAAATATGGATTCAAAAACATGGCTTCTTCTAGAGAAGGAGTGAATGTGGTTTTTTTGATCCCATGATAAATTTTTAAGAAGTCATGGATTTAATGGCAGTAAGGGAAATTTGGGTTAGACTTTAAGAAAAAAGTATGTCTCTTTCTAACTAGGCAGGTCAATTGGTACTGGAATAGGTAGTTGTGGGAGTAAAGGCATCTCGGTTACTAAAGACTGACTAAAACTGGTCTGACAACTAATTGTCAGGAATGGTTTAGTGCAGTTGACTTTGCCTTCAGATATGCAGACAGACAGAGTGATGGGTTAGCTGACCTATTTTCTTTGAGTCTGCAACTGGAGCAGAGGTATAGAAGGGGCTGTGATATAAATTAGAACACAGCCACATGTGAGCCATGAAGTGAAAGCTTATATGGGAAATTAAGGAAAAAAAAAAAGAAAAAGAAAACTCAAGTATCAAAAAACTGAGAACATCATTGTATTCTCTTATGTCAGGTGAGAAAAGATGTGTGCTTTAAGTACTTGAAGTAGGAATGGAAACCAGGCAAAAAGGGCAAACAGGTAGCTTTTCCTCTGACCCCTTCCAATTAAAAATCAAGGGTTCAGAGATAAAGAGGAGCCTCCTTTCCTTCTTTTGAACTACACAGAAAGGCGAGGCCATTTTTCAAAGCCAGTGCACTATAAGGTGACTGGTATTTCTCATCTTCCCCGTCTAAATGCAGAGAACAAACAATCTATCCCGTATCATTCCCAAAGCTGTGCTTCAGAACTCAGCGGGAATCACAGACCTTGAGAAAAAGTCGGTGGAAGAGGGGTGGTTAACTGGTTTCTCAAACCATGAAATGCTTCATGTGATGTTCAGTCTCAGGGAATAGTTTAGAGTTTTACTGTTAATTTAGCCATAAATAACCAGAATCCAATACATACAGATGCGGAGCAGTACAAATATGGCAAGAATCGTGTGGAGGCAGATGCAAAGAGGTTACAAAGCAAAGAGGAGGAGCTGCTAAAGAGGAAAGAAGCGCTCCGGAATAGGCTGGCCCAGCTCCGAAAAGAAAGAAAAGATCTACGTGCTGCCATTGAAGTCAATGCTGGTATGAGGTGCTTTTTTGTGCTGAATTCTGCCCTGGGTAGGCTTAATTATCCAAATAGCTTCGTATTCTGTGCTGAAGACATGCCACTACATGAGGTTTGGTTTTGATGTTAAACAATAGTCTGTAATGTCTATATTTGCTTTCTATATAGATACAAAATATATAATATAAATATATATTTATATTATATATATGTATAGGTGTATATACTTATTTTATACACTTTTTTTTTAATATATATGTCTGTCTGTCTGTGTGTATCCCCTCTATGAAATTACACTGATAGGGACTTCAGACAAGTAGAACATGAGAATAATTTTATGTGACTGGCTAATTATATTTTCATTACATGGAAAAATAACAAAACAAGTACTGATTTGAAACTAGACCAGAAACCTAGGGAAGGGACCTGAAAGAAAGCATTTAATTTCTGTTGCTAAACTTTTTACATGAAAAAAGTGGTTTTTGCAAATTACATAACTTTTTTGTGATGTCACTGATTTTTAGCGACCTTGTTCCTTACATTTTTAAAAATAAAATAATTTCTGTAAGTGTCAATTTAAGCTTCTTACTGAAATAATAACATTGCTGTGGATGACAGGCAGGAAGACCCAAGTGATTCTTGAAGACAAGTTAAAGAAGTTGGAAGAGGAGTGTAAGCAGAAGGAGGCTGAGCGTGTAAACTTGGAGCTAGAACTGACCGAGGTGAAGGAGAGCCTTAAGAAAGCCTTGGCTGGTGGCATCACACTGGGCTTGGCTATTGAGCCCAAGTCAGGAACATCAAGCCCACAGGTATGCAAAGCCATTAAACATGCAAATCCCAGTACCATGAGCTTCTGAGCTCCAGTAAAATGAGTGGAAACTGAGAGTTTTCAAAAGGTTTATTAAGCCCAGGAAATAAGAGCAGAACTAAATGCCTTTCTGCATTATTTGCATTCTTCACCTACATCTGCTGTACTTTCTACAGCAACGGGGAGCAGGTAGACATGGGAATCACAGGCAGTATGTGTTAGGATGATGTGCAAAAGCTGGCACCTCATTGTCCTCAGTGATTGTAAAAGTGCATGAACTGAGACATTGCTCCATCCCAGGGAGATTTAAATGCACCAGGTCATCGTGCAGTGATGGAGACCTACTTGTGTCAGTCCCCTGTCAGTCACTGTCACCCTTTGCAAGGGCTGCATCTCACACATTCACGATGGAGCATGGCAGCCTTGCTCATGCTGTGGATCTGTGTCAGAAGCAACTGGGTAGCTGCATCAGAAGGATCAGAGGGATGTGTCAGTTCCTCCAGATGACCCAATGTTGTTTAATCCCAGAAAACAAACTTGAATTTTCATCACAGAACACACACTTCGCTTTGTTTTCTTTTGTTCTAACCTCTTTTTCATTTATCCATCATTATTATGGTTTCTTTAAAAAAAAACCTGCAGTTCTAAGTCTAGATAGAAAATATTGCTCATGTGACTATTCAGAGGAAACTCAATGTAGGGTTTTCACTCTTTATTAGTCTCCAATTTTCAAGCACCGAACTTTGGAAAACTCTCCAATCTCCAGTTGTGATACCAGTGATACTGAATGCTCAATACCTGTGAACAGCGCAGCAGCTCTGAAGCGACCTCCCTCGGCAAATAATTCTCCATGTCGAGGCCATGTCCTTCGAAAAGCAAAGGTGAGAAGGCTTATGTCTAGTTTTCTTTGTCTGTCCTTTTTCTTACTTTTAAAGAAATCTTATTTGCTTGTGGCAAGACGGAGACAGAGAAGGAGAGAGGGAAAAGTTGGTTCCTGCTGCTCCTGTGGGTGAAATTTAGCTTTAAGAAGAGAATGCACCATATCTAAATTATTTGTATTACTGCATAAATACTGTTGATGTTGGGAAACCTTTTGCAGAATTGGTAAGGAGTTTGGGAGACAGATTTGACTCTACTCTCTCATTCCCTGTTTTACTCTGTTCCTTTATAGATTTAATTTGCAAGGTAAGTGGTCTGTGGTGTAGACAGTCCATCTGAAATTCCTAAAGTTACACTAATCTGTGTAGCAGAGAAGTGGTTAAAAGAACACTGTTATAGTAAGTGTTCTGAAACAACACAAGATCAGGTCTGATCTTTGCCAGCTGGTGCAAGAAAAGAATAGTTCTACGTTATAGTAATCGACGATGTGTTGTGCAAGTATCTACTCTTAATGTACATTTAAAGTAGAAATTGAATTAGTTTAATTTAGTCTCACAAGTACCAGGCTGAAGTTTGCGTTCCTGTTGTATTGTTAGCATTTTCTAATTTTTGTGCTTTAGTTTAAATGAGATTTTTATGACCATTCTTTTGGGCTAAATTTGCTAGCAACATAAGCATGTGGGCAGCACATGACCAAGGGTGACAGTAATAGCGTTGGCCCAAGCTTTTGTTGATTTAGTAGCTCACTGCTAATTGTAATTATAAACAATAATAATCATAGACGATTGTCTTTCATGCAGTCCATTTCTTTTTTCAAAACAATGAAGTGTTCTGTATAGGGATTTTTTTAAGTAATTTTTGTTACATGTCTTCATTGATTATATACATTTACAGTGACTGAGCATGAGCCTGGCACCTAAGCATAGTAGATACTGAAAAATCATCATCTCAACAAGTGATTTGGTTTTCTGGCACATCCTAATCTCTCCCGTTTCCTCCCCCCAGCCCCTTTAACCTCTCTACATTGCCCAGGCCATGAATTACTTCTCCTGCTGTACCTTATGCAAGAGCCTTCTCAGCCTTCTTCTACCACCATTTCCTCCATCTTTCCCATGGACATCAACTGCTTTTTCTGCCAGTTAGCCTAATTCATTTAAATTCAACTAAGAATAATTAAACTCAGAGTAACAGGTTTTGGTTCTATTTAACTTCGAAGTTTGCTGCTTGTGTTTCAAAGCTGAAGAAGGATTCATGTGCTCTAAAGCTTATCGGTGTATTCCAATTATACCCTAATTTGTCTCATAAAGATATCATCTCTTAACTATACACTTCATCTTAGATTTGCATGTTAGCACAGCGTTACTTGGGGGAATGCGGTATAGCAGTTAGAGCATAATCCTAATGAAAGGGAGCATGAATTTGTGCTACACCCTGGACAGGCACATTAAAGCCAGCCATTTAATCTTTAGAGCTGGAGAAACCAAGGCACTATAAAAAGCTAAACATTTTTGGTGTAAAGAATACCTTCCAGCTGTAGTACATTTTTTATGCTCAGCATATAGCATACAGGAAAAACCCTGCTGTGTTGTTTGGTATCGCTGTGCTTTGGATGGCACGATAGGTTCGTCAAGCTCTTTTGCAGAGGAATCTTGCATATAAGATTAGGCTAATCAGAAAGGATATGGAGCTACTAAGCATATTTCCCATCCTGGGAAAAACAACTCAAAGTATCCAATTCAGCTTTAACAGCTTTTTCCTAAAACCTCACACACTAAATATTAAGAGTGAAATTTTGCTGAATTACATAGTGCAACCCAAGCTGTACTCAGCCCATTCGCAAGGAGCTGCAGCCAAAGTCTGCCATCAGGTATGCATCTGCAGCACACCCCGCTTTCAGGGGGAGTTAGCTGTACATATGCGAGGGTGGAATCTGGCTCTCAATTCTTTTGGCCTTTTGCAGTTATGCGTGAGCCCAGGCCTTATAGATGTGGCTAAAGAAAGGGCGTCACACGTGACTATCCCAGAGCAGAACTTACTTGGCTCTCCACGCATGGATGTCAGTGTAATATGTGGGCGTGAAACAGGTTTCAGGTCGTGCTAACGCTTGCATCTTCAGCAACTGGCAAATCTCCCAATGTTATGAGGGAGTTGTATTAGTGTTCAAAATGGCACATTATTTTTTTTCCCCAGTATGTATTTGAATGCACTGAATGCCTCCCTTCTTGCTCTTTCCTTGCACGAAGGATGCCGAGCCTGTCACCAGCCAGCCTTGTGTTTGCAGCCACCCTCACGTCACTGTCGTGAGCCCACAGCACTGCGCCGCTCTCTGCTAGGGCAGCTGCTGCTGCAAAATGTGTGCACTGTGCAGCCTGCTCTGAGAGCTGTATGGCGCAGCAATGCCTCGGAGGGGAGGCGAGGCACCTGAGACAGCAGGTTTGGAAGCTGCTCCACCAAAATCTCTCTCCTCTCAGATGCACTGACACGAGAGGGAAATATAGAGAGAAGCAAGAGGACAGATCCAGTGTTAAATCTAAGAACTAGCAGCAATTTGGACATTGACTGTGTAGGACATATACTTTACGTATACACATATATGCATACATATATTTGGATTATTTTAACTTTTCTGTTTGTAACATGCTTTTATTTTTTTTTTAGAAAGTAATAATGCATATTTTTAAGAAGTCAGAAGGCATTTTAAGTGCAATTTTGTTAATCTCTACTTGGCTGGAAATGGAGATGGTATTAAAATGTAGAAAACAATATTCTGCATTAGCATTCCTAGAGAAGTAAAATACCCCAGATATCCTTGCTGTACAAGAAAAACAATTATTTAAATATTTCACATTTCAAATTGATTTCTAAAACCAAATTGTTATGTATAGCAAGGAAACTGCAATGAGCATTTCTGATCTGTTTTCAAAACTGGTGGACCGGTGAATGTCATTTTGAAGCTTACATTTTGCTTGTGTTCAGGGACTGGAGAAGAAAAGGAGCTCTCCCAGTTTCCCAGCTCCCGGTCAGGCTGTCAGTGTTGACTTAAACATTCTTTCATTGGTGTGAACCTGCTGGAGAAATGGAAACAAAGAAAAAGTTCCTTCTGCACCTGAAAAGAAGCTACTGCTTTCAAGGCTTGTTTAACACTTAGAAAAATTCTCCTCCCAGTTGCTTAGCCAACAACTTCCTTTAGAGCTTTGGCAGCGTATACATAAAGAATATACATTCAATATCCATTTTAAAGTAATTTAGTTTTTACCAATACTGTGTTTTAAGTTTAGGTTTACCATAATTTGAAGTGTAAAACCAAATATTTAAAATATACTGTATTTTAATAAAAGTACCATTGAAATGAAGGGGAAAAAACCCACAAAAGAAAAAAAAAATAAACTATTGTCAACCTGCTTTAAACCCAAGATTTTTTTTCTTATGTTGCTAAAGCAGCCACCAACTGTGACCTTTACTGTTGCTTTACAATGGTTGAAGAGGTGTCATAGTCGTGCAGCTGTTTAGCCAAATTAATGCTATTACTGCTTTGAGCAGCAGAAATAGATATTTACATGGATAAGTAACAGGTTTCAGTCAGAGCTGTTAAATGTTGTGGAATGAGTGTTAAATTCAGGAATTCAGGTTGGGAGCCAAGTCAGCAGGCTGCCTGCAGATTATCTCTGCAGAGTAGATGATAGTGGGTGGGAGAGGAATCTGTAGTGCCTGGCTAGGAACAGCTGGGCGGTTGCTCCATGGGGATTACTTCAGCAAGAGGCCAAGTCCGTCGTATCATCATTATTTTCTGATCACTGTAAGGGTGTGATTCAGGGAGTAGGTACAGTACAGATGTCCTAGGCTGAGCCCATCCCTCTTCAGCTCTTCTGCTCCTATGTAGTGTTAGGAAATACTGTAGGTATCACTCAATAGGCACAAGTTTGATTTAACTGGGTGTATAGCTATCTCACAATTTTCACTTACGTGGCTGAAGAAATGGCAGTACCTTGCTCTGAGATATAGGGATGAAATCATTATAGATTCCGTGCTTTGCTGTGGATGGTAGGTGTCATTGTCCTCAGCTAACAGGTGGGGAAACTGAGGCATGGAAAGGCAAGGTGATTTCTTTAACTTGCTGAGCAATAGTTCAACTTGGATTATGTATATGGGAAACAAATGCAATGTAAACTAACTTGTTTGGTTTTACCCTGCCTGTAAGTCTCTCTACATCAGTAAGTTGCCCTTGTTAGCCATAGAAACGTGTATCTGCCATGAGTTTTATAATAAAAAATTGAAGAGTAGTAAAGCAATCACTTGGTGTCAGCTATGAGAGATATTGAGTGCTTCCTGCTGTCTCATGCAAGTAAGTTAGAAAGCCCTATATGCTAAATCAGCCTCTCTCTTACTCAGCTCCAGCTGAGTGCTTTAGACCAGCTGTGGTGTGTGAATTTGCTCCATAAGTACCCTTTGCAGAAAACAAACTGGGCTTATTTGCAGTGCGCTAGAGAAGAAGTTGCCATATATAGTTGTGGAGGGGTGGAAGCTGCGCACAGACGCTATCAGGCCATACTTCTTAGCACTCCCTGACTAATATGTGGGCAGAAGGCTGGATCTAATGAAGTTAATGGAAAAACTGTTACTGACCTCAGCTGGCTTTGGCTGATCTGATGACATCAGTGAAATATCCTGATTTCTCCAACACTTCTTTTTTTTTCCCCCCTTCCAGGAATGGGAGATGAAAAATGGAACATAAATATAGCAAAACCACTCACTTTCCATAAAGGCCTTACCTGTTATGGACCAAGACATAGGCTGCAAAAGACTGATCTGAAAGGTGGTATCAAGCGATACAACGTAAGAAAGAGGTTTTCTAATTCTGTTAGGTTAATGGTAGCTTGGCGCTAATTTGCCTGTATTCCCTCTACTGTATTGCTGTGTAACTACGTGTGCCCCTTTTTATTAGCCGTAACTCTTTATTTCCAACTTCACTGGTAAAGAAAATGAAAACCAAAAAAACCAAACCAACCATAGTAAGTAAAAAGGAGCATAAAGTCACAGTTGAAAGTTTACTTTGCTGAAACAGCATAGACCAGCAATGTTAATTATATCGCATCAGGTGGCCTGAACACCACTGAAGACTGGTGCGTTAAGACCGATGTGAAATCATTACGGATAAGAAGTACTCTTGCAGGTTAAAACTGACTTTGCGAGGTCTGCCACAGAGGTGGCTCAGTGAAGTCTTGCTCATTAGCAGTCGCCTTGCTGTTAGCGGTTCACGTGGCAAAGGAAAACTGAAGAAATGTGTTCACGGAAATGGCATGGCTTGCTTGGCCGAGAAGGCAGGAGCTCTTCAGTGCCGCTGTCCTCTACGCTGGTGCGAGACTGTGGGATGACACGACTCAGCTGTGAAGCATTTTTTGGATACTATTTAGACAGATGCTTTTGTCATTGGGAGATAAAAAGCTGCCATACTTTGAAAAACAAAAAAACATTTTAGTACGTTCTCATTATTAGTATTCCGAAGCACCAGTCATTTTCAAAGGTCATGTTGTCGAACTATGATTTGTTCCTGATTTTTTTAAAAGGCAAAAGGTATTTTTAGATACTGCTTCTTTTCTATACTTTTAGAAAAAGAAAACGTAATTGAAATTAATCCTCAACAGATAATGGCAACTCAGAATAGCTTACACAGTCAGTCTTGTTTTGTTTTTTATGATATAGTATTGTTAAACTTGAGTTATAGAACACTGCTGTACTTAGTTTCCTTTGTCTTTTCAGACCTCAGCTATTATTTTTGAGAAAGATGAATTGAAAAGATGATAGTTTCCAGACTCTTTTATAAACAATTTTACAAAGAACTGGGGATTTTTCTCAGACAGGAGCCCATTTCTGTTTACTAGGAAACAGCGTCTTGCATTTTAGTCTGTAAAATTACAGAAATCTGTTCTTCTTTGTCTCCATCCATGTCACTCCTGAGAACTTACATGCAGTAAATTGCCAACTGAAGTCCTTCAAAATCTCAAGATCGGTTTTAAAAAGTCAGGAGAGAGAGCGGGAAAAAAAAACATATAACGAATTGGGTTCTTTTAATTTTTTCTCTGTGGTTTTTTTAAGCCTTTGGAGAGCCTTCAATCACGTTCTCAAGATTTTTTTTTCTCGTCAACTGTGAGGACTAGAAAATCACTTTAATTAAAAAAATTAAAATACTACTCATACTTTGAGATAATCACAGATGTTAGGGCTGGAGTCTTGGTAATTATTTGAGACTTGCAATGAAAACCACAGAAGTTGGCACCACAGCAGGTATCAAGGATCACATCCCTTTATGGCCCAGCTTACAGTTTGTCTCTTAACTTTAGGAGTAGGTGTGTGTAACTCTTGAAGGGTACACTGGGATTCCCAGCTGAGCTGGATGCCAGAGGACATCCTGCAGGAGCTGGTGGGATTTGAAGGCACAGAGCTATCAGAAAAACCTGATGGTTGATAGGACACAGGTCCTGTTCCCAGATGCAATTAGTGCCAGAGATCCCATCGACCTCAGCAGCATAGAAACAGGGCACAAAATGAGAAAAGGCTCTTTGCTTCTTGGGACTATGCTTTGTACAAAGTGCCGCAGGAACGCAGATACAGTAGGGAAGCAAGTGTCAGTGTGGTTTTCACTGAAAATGGGATTTTTTTATATTATTTTAGGTCATCTGCTTACTTACTAACTCTATAAGTGGAGGGCACATTCTATGCTGTATGACTGTGGACTAAACAGTATCAAGTTCCCATAAATATGAGCAGAAACAAATTTGAAGCAAAAGTAAGTTCGTTTAGGCTTTTTATTTCAAATTAAGTTATTTATTTGTATATTTCAATAAATATTTAATTTATATCTGTACATATTTATGATGCAAATTAGGCTTCTAGTCAACATTTGCAATGATGTATCAGTTGCCATTAAGAAGTGGTCCCGCATCAAGCAATGCAGAATAGTCAAAAGCCAAATCACTTGTCTTGTTTACCCAATATTGGCGTTGTATCTTCCACCCCCTATATCCAATGGAAAAAAAAAAAAAAAATCCTTGGCAAGGACAGGTTTTAATCCGTGCCTGAGAGAGAAGTGTGCAAATTTCTGTCCAAGCAAACAGAAATCGCATGGTGCTGGGGCCATGCACAGAACCCCAGCCCCGGGGCCGCAGCCTTCTGCTCTGCTGTAGACGCCAGTCGCCCTCGACACCTATAGCGCCCTTGGCACCTATAGCGCCTGCTGCAGCAGGGGCTGCCGGCAAAATTAAGCATCTTTCACCCTTCCTCCAGCAAAGGCTCTGTAAAGCCACCACCGCCCCCTCGCCCCCAACCCGGCACGTACTGTAATTGTATGTCTCTAATGTATAAGTACGTTGGTACCATCACACTTTGCATTAGTGACATGTCTATTCTATATGATGGCCAAGGTTTTGAAAGGAGGAAAACAAAAAACCTCGGGAAATAACCTCTCTGTAGACCACATTTGGTGCTGTGAAATGTACTCCGTTTTGTTGAATAGTACTGTTGCTGTACAATTTTTTTATAAAAAGCGACAGAACTTGTATTTTCACCAATTTTAGATTTCAGGATCACCAGGCAAAGTCAGCAACAGAGCAGCATGACTTTTGTTTTAAAGGAAAACTCTTGTATTTTAAACCATCGCGTTTCTATATCTTTTAAGAAAATGTTACACTTGTGCTTCCTCAGCAAACTCCTGTTACTGTACCAGGTGCTTTTTTTTATTGTCTTTTTATGGGTGATGCTTTTTTAAAAAAAAAAAAAAACAGATCATAACTTTGGGGGATCAACGGTGTTTTTTTTAATGAGATGATTGTGGCAATTTGATTTTTCAAATGGAGAATACTTAATTTAGTATCAATTTTTGTTAAAGACACTTTCAAATTAATTGGCCCAGGCTGTACGTTGTAAGATAATGTTCTCATATTAAGAATGTAATTATTTCCTTATTGTATTTTTTAAAAAACAAAATCATATTTAAAAATCTCTGTGAAAAAAAGCATGAAAGAAACATGAAAAAAGTTTTTGTTTTATTTTTGTTATTGGATATGTTGGCAGTGCCCATTATAATTGACTGTAAATATAGTCTTTCTACTGTTTTTCTCAATGTATTTAAGTTTTTTGACACACATTCATGGAAACTTCTGTGTTAAAAAAAAAAAAATCCAAAAGAGACCCACCTACAAATGTGTGTCTTAGTAGCTTCAACTAACTTTATGCCTTTCTAGTTTATTCTTCAGAAAGTCTTGCAGAGTGTGAAAAAAGACTGGCACCTGGTAGGTGCGACAGATCATTATTAATAAAGTTACCTGTCAAAAAAGAAATATTTGCCTTGTTGTTTCTTGGTAATTGTCACTATCATAAGTAGGTGGCACCTTAACAGACACCCGCAATAGTCCTCCTCAACCAAGTACCATTCTCCCGTGCCAGTCGGTTGAAAAATGCTTGGGCAGGTTAGAATTAGTATTTTTTTGGTATCAGTTCTGTCCCCGTTGAACTGTGCAATGACCTTCTGCAACTTGAGTGCAGTCTATCTAAGGGATAGTCCAGCAACGGAAAAGGGAAGTTCAATGTATTCAGAGCTCATCGCAGAAGTTACCGCTTGTTGAGTGTCACTGCATCAGTTTGCTTAGATGTCAACCCCAGTAATAGATAATGTAAAATGTAAAACATGAAAAATTACCCCTAAAAAAATAAAGTGGGTCAAAATCAACCCAAGCTATTTATCAGGCTACTTAATGCTGAACATAGCAATTCCTTATAGATGACTGACAGATGAGATTGAAAAGTGATAAGCCATAATTAACTCCTTGTTGCTTTTCTTAGATTCAGCCCTTGCTCCCATTACACTAAAATTATTACCGAATGTCATGCTTAAGTAGAAAATACATTTCATTTTACCAAACTCAGGGAAGCAGTATTTATAAGGTAGTCTAATTGGTTTCCTTTCTGTACTCGCAGCCTCCTGACCGCAGGAGAAAAAGGTGGTCAGCATTTGTAAAACATGGGATGGTGGTATAACTAGTAAGAATTGTCTCTCAAGTAGACGCAGCTTTTTGTCTGCTTAATCAAAGCTTATAACCGCTGCCTTTTGTCAATTAAAAAGCCTTCAAAAGCAAAGCAAATTATTAGTATTTCTCTAGAGAAAGAAAGAATGTCATAGAATCATAGAATCATTAAGGTTGGAAAAGACCTCTAAGATCATCGAGTCCAACCGTCAACCCAACACCACCATGCCCACTAAACCATGTCCCTAAGCGCCTCATCTACCCGTCTTTTAAATACTTCCAGGGATGGGGACTCAACCACTTCCCTGGGCAGCCTGTTCCAATGTTTAACCACTCAACCATGTCGGTAGAAAAGATATATATCGGACAAGTTGTATAAAAATATCTATATGTTGTATATAAAAATAGGTATTTAGAATAGTTGTACTATATAATATATATTATTATAGAATAATATATATGCATAAATTAGAAAATGAATACCTTAAGTTACTCAGGCTCATGGCCTAAAAAAGCCTTAAAGAGGATCTTAGTGTTTTTGTATAAGCCACATTTAATATTTGGTCTACCCAGCTGCACCCCAAAGGCATTCAATATGAAAGACCCCACCAACACCTAACTTACTCCATTTCGGTTTATTCTTGCAGGTGGGCACCCACGTTGTAAGCATTGCAGTGCTTTAATGTTAGGTTCTTTTTTTTTTTTTTTTTTAATTTGTGCGTTAAGTTGAGCACCATCAGAGCCCTCGTTACAGTACTTAAGCACAGGGCTTTATAAACAAGGGCTGCTTGCTAGAGAATGAACGATGCCAAATGTGACACCATTTTTCGAATGGAGAGGGAAAAAATCAGGAAACAGACTTTTACAGCTGTGCTGGGCAAATTGACAGAGGGTATACTAAAGTGAAGAATTAGTGAACAGACTGAGAAATGTGTGCTTGGGTAGAGTCAACACAGGTTTTATACTGGGGTGTCCTTGCTCATGAAGTGCTAAGAGGTCTGTGAGGCTGCTAGTGAGCATCCAGGAAAAGAACATACTCTGCTTGGATTTCTTCAACACACTTTTGACAAGGTCCGTCACTAAAGAGGATTAAGTAGCTACTGGAGAAAAGGAAAAGACACAATAGGATAAACAACTGATTGGTAAACAAACAAAAAAAAGGGCATAAATTCTCTATTTCCAGGGGCCTGGGGATCCCACAGGGCTGGGGTCTGAGCCTTGTGCATATCAGAATAATTGAAATAATTGGGAAAAAAAATGAGATTAAAAATTTGCTGTTACTAATTTAGTCGGGATAGTAAGCCAACTACAATGATTTCCAGAAATACCTTTCACAACTTCACCAGTGATTAAAATGTCAGAAGAAAT